GACTTTGACTTGACTTGAAAGGTTTTTTTAATGACTTGCGACTTGACGTGACTTGACTTTGTTTTTTCAGTTTTTGACTTGACTTGACTTGTGACTTGACAAAAAAATACAAGTCAAGTCAGATATTCTTTGCAACTTCAATGCATATTAGATTCTCGTCAGGTTATATTTGACCTGTGCGTACAAAATAAGGTCCTAAACAGACTAGACGAATAAACAATGAATTGAGGATTCATTGTTTATTTGGCTAGTCTGTTTGATCTCACAAAGGAAACTATCTGACATCGACACTTGCAAGTATATAAGCAATTATACGGCTGAGTGTGCAACATACGTGACCTATTGTGTTAAACTGATTAGATCAATTACAACTTGTATTACAACTGAATTGATTTAATTTTTTTTTCAATAAATTAATACATAACTAAATTATGAAATTTAAAAAAAAATTCAAGTCAATGACTTGAGACTTGACTTGACTTGACTTGGTTAGAACACGGACTTGACTTAACTTGACTTGCAATGGCGTATCTCAAATTGATGACTTGACTTGACTTGACTTAAAGATATTTTTTTTTGAGCAATGACTTGACTTGACTTGACTTGACTCTCTTTGACAAATGACTTGACTTGACTTGAGTGAAAAAATAGCTGACTTGCCCATCTCTGCTCCGTATGTCGTTCTTTCATATTCTAAATCTCACGAGAGATATAGAAAGGAGTATTCATCTAGATTATGAGAGAGTTCAGCTCACCTCCGAGCTCACTCATGGCTCAGGCACTAATCATATTGCATATAAGATCATTTAAAATAAATCAGAGAATGTGATATACATGGATTTGAATGATTGGAAAATACGAAGTTGATCAACTTCAAATTCGCTTCTTCGACTCGGTTGATCTTTTAAAGTGAAAGCTCATGAAAGACATTCGCATTATATTTTCAAAATTTCGATACAAATGCTGATCATGATTAATACACAAGTAGAGATCAACAACGGTTCTTCATCAAGTTCTAAGAATGTACTTATCTATTTCTCACATGCTGATGATCAATAGAAATCAAGACGAAAAATTCAAATAGCATTTCACGGAGATATTGTCGTTCAAGACATATTTCTTAGTGTAATCCGATTATTTTTTATTCTAACACAAGAAAAGGGAACCGTGGAACAAACAAACACGTGATAATTGTTTGCAAGCATTGCATCAGAACCGACTTTTAATGGTTATATGATATATTTAATATTTACAACTATCGTTAGAAACTAAAACATGTCATCTTTCAGTAGTTTATGCTTCAAATTTATGAAATTTTTTTATGAAAAAGAAAACACGATAAAGATGAAAAAATAAATTCACTTTCGATACAGTGTGACAGTCTGATGTAAATGTAGAATTTCTTGATGAAAGGTGTCAGTGTCCAACGGCCTAAAGTTGACTTATGTCGACGATGAACATTTTGAAAAGAGTAACAACATCCAGACGACAATAAATGCCATCGAAGAATGATTTTCTCGAAATGCAACTGTGAGAAAGTGACGAAATTCGTCGGCGATCAGGTCATGCGTACGAGTCGTAAAATGAACATCATCCAAAAAGACATAAGATTCTGGGTTTCGACAAACAATGATGGATTCAGATGATGGATTCCAACATGGACGCGTTGTATTTCTGAATCCATAGTAAGAAGCATTAACAAGAATCTTAGTCATAACTGCATGAATATCGAAGCCTTTTACAGATAGATCTAGATTGTTTGTTTGTAGTGCCCTAATGTTAGTGCAAAGATAATCATTGTATTGACGTGTAAGACTAATAAGTGAGATATTTGAGTTGAAATTCTGAAGGGATGGGATGATTTGAGGGGGTGATTGATTGAAAACGATAATATGCTTCGCACCAAAGATCATAAGAGCTTTGACTGTATTTAACAGATTATTGGCGATCATAAACACACTCAAGGTCTTATTAAAAAATATAATCATGGCCACCGACCCAAATAACATAGAGAGTGTGATAAAAGTCGATTGTACTAGTATTCATACTATCTATGTAAGTCTTTATCTGTTGGCGAACACCGGCTACAATTGGAACGTAAGACTTTAGGTGGCCTGTCACCAAGTTGTTGTCGATAGTTGCACCTTCATGCGCATAAGTAATTAGTATGGACACATTTAATTTTTCCACCGAAACATGACCATTCGAAAATCTTACCTTGAAAAAAAAGGAGCAAGCGAAAATCGTTTTTTTGTCATATGGTAAATATTTCCTGTATCTGAGTTCGAATCTCCAAAGACTACTATTGTATTGAATTGGGTTGTCTTCATATTCATTGGATAACTGTAGTGTACGATGATCGAAAAGGCTCACAAGAATGTGATAAATACAACGACACATTCCTCGTATTGAGCGTTTACTGGGTTTCATGCAGGTAACCTATTTATTACTGAAATAATAGAAGTTAAAGCTGCTTAAAGTTTCACCTATGTACAACATCGTTTGAGATGTAAGGTTTTCGTTGACGACCAATTAGAACATCTGTGTCCTTGATACGTCAAATATTTGATCACCTAAACTCGACATATACATAACATATTCGAAATTCGAGAATTCTATTTTTTTGCACGGTCAAACCATCAATATAAAGAGAAAGTTATATACATATTTATTCATCGTGATGTTTCTTTGAAAGTACGTATATATTTTAATGCTGGTACTGTGTCTGACATTCTCTTATGTCCACAATATTTGAAGTAAAGTTGAGAATTAAACTCCGCCTAAGAATTAGAGATAATAAAACGCGTGAGAAGAGGTATTCTGAAGAATGTCGTCGTCGACTTTTAAAACTTTTCTAGAAACTAATGAAATTCGGGTTGATAATGGAACTGTCATGGAAACACAGGAAAGCTCTAACTGCATTTACATACCTTTTCTATACTCCCCACCAAATTCGACTCGTTTTCAGATGTAAAATTGCGCTACTCATATGAACATATAGCCTGAAGATTCATCTATGTCCTAGATCTGTTTCAAAAAAAATAGATTATATGATTGTAGTATATCGATGAGCTATTGCTATTTATTGAGAAGAGCATTTGTATTCTGCGTTCGATCGATTGAGGTGCAAAGACCATTGAATCAATAGATTTTCAGGAAGAGTCAATTGGTAAATGATGTTGTTTCAATTGTGCAGTAGTGTCCAAAATTATAAGAACACCTGCTCAAGTCGAATTACTGCTTCTGTTTCGACTAGTAAATACTCATGTGACGAGAAAAATCCACCTGTCAGAATATGAATTTGAATTCGCTCGGAATACTTTTCAAGTTTGAGAAAAAAAATGGTGCATCAAAACTACTTGTTTTATTGTTTGTGCATAATTATAAGAACTTAGATTTTAGTTAAAAAATTACATAAAATGTAGAGGAGCTGCTTTCGCTCATTCCTACTTATAAAAGTTGAAAGAATACATTTATTTGAACGCAGCATAATATTTTATGAATCAAGTCAAAATAACTTGATAATATCGTCCAGTTGAGTTTTTGAATGGAAAAAGTAAAAAAGACGTAATCGTATGCTTTATTTAAAGGATTTGAAAAGACGATATTTGTTACTTCAAATGAGACACTTCTTCCGAGTTTCGCAAGTTATTCTAGCACAAAGGTACATATCTATGCTAAGAAAGAGACAACTTTTGTCAGTAAGATTGCACAGAAGTCATTTCAATTTTTCTACTTATCGAGCGCGAGTGTTGGTGATAATGAAGGTATGAATGTGCCATTGAGATACTTTTTCAGGCAATCCAACTGACGATAACACACATTTTCACACATTCATACCCATATTCCACAAAAGCAGTGGAAGAAAACAAAAATTCACAATACCGTAAGAGAGCAGTGTTTTCGAACATTCTTCAAGTGACCAGTGTTTGTTTTTAAAAAGTGAATGAATCTTTCACTGTATGACTACTGATTAAGGTACGCATAAGAGTTTTGAAAAGATTTTTAAATCTACGAGAATATATCGACATCTATAGTAAAGAAATATTATTTTTGTCGAAAATATTTGATGCCAAAATATCGAACAATTTGAGAGGAAATATTCTATCAATCTTTTGATTCCATTCACTATTTATCATGGATGTGATACTCGAACCAATGCCAGTAGATTGTTATGTTCTGTTGTTTTTTTTTACTACTTTCAACTAGTAAACTACTCGTTTTTTCTTTCTCCTTCTGATGTTACTTCGGTAAACAGTCACCAACAGTGTCACGAGCAGAACTATGGTAGTTGCGGGTAACTCATATTATTTGTGAAATCGATTATTTTTCATCATCCGAGCTCACACAAAATAATCAACATTCTACTTCTAAATCCTTCTCTCAATGCTAATCGCTTCATTTATCCATGAAAGTGTGAATGAGGAATTAATGGGTCGAGGAAATATAGTTTATTGTATGTTTACTTACCCAGCAGCATAGCAGAAAGGGACTATTTTCGAATGGAAACTTTGATAGAATTCAATAGAGCAACAAATGTGTTTTTTACCAATATTCTTTTCTTTTTAGAAACAAAACGTAAATTACTGATCAAAGCTTTATCATTGCAACCTATCTGTTCCAGTTCAGCCTCCTGTCGAACTCAAACTAAAATTCATACTTTTGAAAATGGATCGTCGATTTGATCATATTCTCGAAATCTGTCGAAAAATTTCAAGATGTCCAGGTGTTCACTCTGTTATTGCTATGCAAGCAGCTGGATTTGTATATACAAACGTTGGTGATACAGTTCGGTGCGATGACTGTCAACTAGAAGTGTCCGATTGGACAAATACCATGGTTCCTTTTACTATTCATGCGGAACGCAGTCCAAACTGTGCATTCATTCGCTCGGTACGACAGTCCAATGAAGTTGTCCCTTTATCATTGTTTACTTCACCAATCACTAGTCTAAGTGGAATCAATATAGAATCAACCGATGAGCACATTTCCGAAAATCAACAGCTCGACGAAACCGAAGTAGAACTTGATCCTCTTAAGTTTGCAAATTCAGAAGCAGTCGAACAAAGTCGTCGTCAAACTTTTTTAGGAGGGGCTCCTGAATGCCCATCGTGTCTAGAACGGATGATCAAAGCCGGCTTCTTCAGTTGTAATATTGATGATCGGGTCATTTGTCTTTACTGTAACCTCATTTGTCATCAATGGGTACCGCATAGCGATGATCCATGTGAGGTACATCAAACACTCTCACCCACATGTCCTTTTGTGAAAAACATGCTAATACGCCATCAAGCTGCATCTACATTAATTATTAATAATAATTCAATGGCCAATCGCACAGCGGATGCAGCTAGTACAAATACATATTGTTCAAATGAAATAGTACCAATACTGCCTCTTAATACAGCCTACGCAGATATTCCAAAACGTGTCGCATCATTTGCCACTTGGTCGAATGGGGCTCTGCCCACTGTTGATGAGTTCGTTCGCGCAGGGTTCTTTTATACTCGTACTGGTTCAATTGTTTCCTGTTTTTACTGTCATGGAAGGTTAAATAATTGGAATGACAGTCACAATCCAATGATTGAACATGCCAGATGGTTTCCGCACTGTGCGTACGCTAAACAGCTCTGTGGAGATACTCTTCATCGAACAATACAGGAATCGACACGAGATACACAAAGTACGTGCTTAGCATATTCTCTCTATAAAATAAACATATTGAATAATTTTTCTTTTTCGAATATAGGATCCAGACGAGCCAGTAATTCAATAAGAAATAATACTATTGATGGTCAAAAGTTAGACATACCTGATGAAAAGACACTATCACATCTGGTAACTCTTCGCCTGAACTGGCCCATGTCTAAAAAATTGCTTGCTCAAAAATTTCATGTTTCAATTATCAAGCTTTGTTGGGAGAATCAACTGCGATTAAAACGTAAATTGAAATATTCAATACATTGTAGATAAAGAATGAATCTATAATTTGAATGTATTTGTAGAGCTTGACTTTAAATCTGAATCCGATTTACTCGTGGCTTGTATTATTCTTCAAAGACAAAGAATTCATATCGATAAAAGAAAAGAGCATATTATTATTCCTGCTGAGCGAATGAATCAAATTCATAAAAGACAACAACAATTAGGTATGTGTCCCACAAAATACTGTGTATTCAATTAAATTTCTTTGATATGATAATTTTATAGGAGTCCATGCTGCTGTATTACCAATACCGACCCAAGTGACAGCACCGCCAACAAATGCGTTTAATACTACTGATATTGGAACGGGTGTATCACCGGAATCATCGACAGATCAAGCCATTCCAAGAGAATTAACGCCAGCAACTCTGTGTATGGTCTGCATAAGTGAAGAAAGATGTCTCGCTTTTATTCCGTGTGGTCATATGGGTACTTGTCTTGCATGCCGTCATTCACTTAGTTCATGCCGTATATGTGGACAAAACATCGAAGCATTTGTTCGTATATACGTTTCATGAATCAAACGCTGGTATATTTGGTTGACGAACAGTATAAAAATAATGAACAGTCTTTACTAGAATATTGTGTTAATGTTCGAATCATGTTCATATCCCGGTGAGACCATGATCGGCAATGGTCAGTGTGTGATCACATCTTGATCGAATGTAATGCTCATCGCCGAAAACGAGATCGCCGAAACTGACACTAAAACAAACATTGTCGAAAAGAAAGATCGTCGAAATAGATATCATCGAAATAAAGATCGTCAAACTTTTTTCGATGATCTTTATCACATACATTCTTTCCGCAATCATTATTTTTGTTCACTCATTCGATATGAATCGCATACACAGAGCGGCTATTTACCTATGTCATAAACATCATGAATTGTAACCGAGTTTTGCGATAGATTCCCAGCTTGTTTTAGTTTCTGACCTGATTCCTAAGTTAAGTTAGTTCCTAACTCAATCTAGCCACTTTGACTTAACGATTGCATATCTCATCGTTGAAAAACAACATTGTCAATGACTACATCGCAGAAAGTGACATTGTCGAAGTCATATTGTCGAAATTATAGATTGACGATTGCCACATTATCGAAATCATACTTCGCCGAAATATAGTTCTCCGAATTTCGGCAAACTGTATTTCGGCGAAGAGCATACTTACCCCTTGATCATGGCTTAGTCTTTATGCAATGTCAGCCATAATGGTCCGAAAAAATTACTTGTAAATCAACAGTTGACTGAGTTTTGTTCTTTGGACCATATGAACTTTTGCTCTATTTCTTTTGCAATCATCCGATGATATCCTTACAACTATAACAATTCTTTTTGATATTCTGTTTTAATTTTTAATATCAGAATAGTTCTTTTAGATTTTTAATTTTCATATTTCAATTTCTTTTGATTAAAATCCATTAAATGAATTACAATATTTCTCTTCTAAATATATTTGATAATAATCTTTGCTAAATAAACTGAACACGTCGTATGGATGTTGAAATGTTTTCATATAAATTCCCATGTCCTCAGCCAGACGTCTCATTCTTAACATTCACCACTCATTTGTAAATATTTAATAAGTTTTTAGTAATAATTTGATTTAGTAAATTCTCTATTCAAACAAAATCTTATTTGAATGAAACTAGAAATATATATCTGATAAGAAAATCGTTATAAAATATCAATACGAAGTTTAACTTCAACGTCGTCTTTGTTGATCAACAATAAAAATACTTCAACATAAAGCATTTCAATTACAAAAGATAATAACAATGATCGATACTGGTTATTCATTTTATCACGGAAATAACTAATAAAACCTAGAGAAATACCAAGGGGGAACAAGCGGACTTCTGTACTTCTTGTACTTCTTTGTACTTCTTCGTACTTTTTGGTACTTTTTCGTACTTCTTCGTACTTTTCCGTACTTTTTCGTACTTCTTGGTACTTCTTGGTACTTCTTCGTACTTTTTCGTACTTCTTCGTACTTCTTGGTACTTCTTGGTACCCATGAAAAAAAAATTTGTAAAAATTTGCGTTTCAACGCATTTTTTCTAGTTCACATGTTTTCACTAGACTTTGAACGCAGTTTTTAAAACGCATTGAAACGCATCATTTAGTAATTGAAACGGATATGTATCGAATAAAACGCGTTTCTAAAAATGCATTTGAATGCGTTAAAATGGCATATTATTGTTACAAAAGAACGTATAAGAGCGATTCCCTGTGAATCATTTTGAACGTATCCTATTTACAGCTAATTTTCTAGTAATGATGGATATATATGTATCTAATCTATGTATATTTACTCCTTTAGAAGTTAGCAAGAATTGTACTTGTGTTTCTTCCTCTAAAAGTCTTTTTTTTACACATTTACAGAATAATATATGTAAAAAAATGACTTCTAGGGGAAGAAACACAGGTACAATTCTTGCTAACTTCTAAAGGAGTAGATATACATAGATTAGATAAATATATCCATCATTACTAGAAAGTTATCTGTAAATAGTATACTTTCAATTTGATTAAGAGGAGATCGCTCAAACATGAACTCTTATTAGATTGCAACAATTAGTCAGATCTAACTGGAGTTTGTATGGTAATTTTCACTTCTCGGAAGGATAGATAGGGTTAACTAGGGACAAACGAAAAGAAGGATATGGTTCGAGTAAAATAAACGAAAGGAGGGTATTGTTAGAGTATAGAAAACGAAAGAAGAATATTGTTACAGTAAAATAAGCGAATGAAAAAAATGGTTAGAGTTTAAAAAAGCGAACAGCGGCTTGTCCACGTAACGCGACACTTCGCTGATCAAGTTTTGAAAAAATTTTTTTTCGAGTTGGACAGATCTCAGTGGGGTACTAGATGCAGTTTTTTACGCTGATTACGAATTTGGTATTAATTTTGTATAAAAATTAGATTTTGATATCGAAAACTGGATTTTAAAGTTTTCAAAAACCGTATTTTGGATTTTTTAACCAAGAAATTTTTTCAACAAAGGTCAAGAGACATACCATTCGATGCAGAATTAAATTCTCTACAAAATGGTCTATTTAGTTTTGACTTTGGCAGCTTAGAACAAATTGGAGACTTCGATACAATTCACAACTTCCTGCTCAGTTTATGAGCTCTCAGATCGATGTATCAATCTCATTTTTGCACAGGGGATTGTCTACATAGAAAACAGTAACACTTAGAAAAATCAAGTCATTCTGAGTACATTAAGTGCCTCAAAATTGGTCAACAAAAAACTGTGTAACAGCGTTACGAAAAACGTAACAGCGTTACGTTTGTTTTTTGCATTTTTTATCGGAGCAAAAATGTTTTAGAGAAAATCTTTTTTACTGCCTGAAAGCCTATTCAATGTTCTACAAAAAGGACTCTCGGAGCATTACATTTGAAGAAATGGTTTCGCAAGAATTTAGAGTTTTCTTGGCGGCACTGGAAAAAAAGGGTCCTTTTATGTAACAGCGTTACGCCATGATAAAACCTTTCTAGATGCCTGAGACTTCAGTCAAAAAAGGCCATTTTTATATGATAAATAAAGTTCGATAAGCTGCGTCGAATGACGTTTGAACGAACTTCCTAGCTCTTAAACTTTTCGAGATAGTTGAAGAAGAGTGTGTCAAAAACGTAACAGCGTTACGTTTGGACAAGCCGACAGTAGTGTATGTTTAGGGTAAAATAAGCAAAGGATACAGTAAGGTCGGATCGAAGAAAAGCTTCGTATGCAGAAAAATAAGATGGAAAAAATAATCTTGTAAAAACCTAATTCGAACTAAAAGTACAGAATCTGGCGATTATATACACAAATGGATCAATACTAAAACAGTACTTATATTGAAGAAAATTTATAAATTTTTTGCTTTTTTACATGTAGATCCAAAATTGCTTTTGAATAAAACAGAATTATATTTGAAAAATATATGTTATTAGCTATATTTTGAGTACCATCTATCAAAGAATTTTGTTTTTTTCAAAAAATAATTCAGACTCACCCAGAAAGACCTTTCAATTTATAATAGAAAAAAGAAGAATTTTTATAATAAGAAAGTTTATTCAATGATATTCCATGTATGTCAAATTACATCAGCTGCAACTATAGTTTAATAACAATGGACTTTTTTGAATTACGAGATCACATAGAAGAGAAGAATAGAAAATGATAGAAAATATCACACTTCGCACAAGAGTTATCATTACAATTTTAATCACTAAGGGAAAGGAACTAACATATTCCAAGCACTGATTATGTAACTCTCGAAAGATTTCTAAACGTACTATAATTATTCAAATTTTCATTGGAGAACACAGCAACCAGCGTTTCTGAACGGTCTATAAAAGTAGTAAATATTGAAAAGAAATAGAAACTTTTATTTCTTTGAAAGAACATTCGAAAAGTTATAAATATATAAATACTATTCCTTTTATTCTATTTTGATCTAGCTGAGTTTGGCGAAAAATTATCAGTATACAATAAATTCACAACAAAAGATATTACATTTACAACCTTAAATTATTCCAAATTGGCACAATTTCAAGACTACCGGTCTTTATAGACGTAGAAATGTACATTATTTTGATCTCACTAGTAAAATTACATTAATAACGACCTCAAATAATTTATTGTTACAAATTTAGTCCTTATGTAACACTAGAAAAGATGAAATATTGCTGAATTTTATTACAAAAAAAGTTTTGTGCGATAATGTTGAATTTGAGACAATTGATTTTGATCATCATATTCATGTTAATGTAAATGATATGAATATGGAAATGTATGCTACTATTAATTTGAAAATTTTTATTTTATTCGGTATCTAACGTTAAGTGAGCCTAGTTTGAGAACATGTTACTACTTATCTTGAATTGTTGGCTTTTCTTTTGTATAAAATACATGCTGTCTTTTTCAACATTATTCGAGTAATTTTTTATCTTATTCTATCATAGAGTCGTCATGAACCGTTATACCTTTTAACTTACATATGTTGACATTCATGTCACCCAACATTTATTCTAGTTAACATAGATCTCTATTGTATATAAGAACCAGCCCACATAAGCCACGACCGATTACTATAGGACCTGCCCAATCGATATCCTCCAATTCGGCTCATTTTAACATATGTGATAGAGGCAAGAGTTTGATGAATTTTGGCGAATATTTTCCAGTGTGGAGATATGAGCTACCAAAGTAAGTCAAAATAGTGATTTTTTTCTCCAATAGTGAATCCCATAAAAAACCAAGGACTTAAGCCTTCAAGCTGAAATTATTTTTATGTGTAGAAATTGTTGGTGTATAGAACTACAAAAAATTTCAGCTCGATTGGTTGAGTCATTCTTGAGATATAATGTGCTTAAAATCCTTTGCCGATGATTGTGGAGCTTTATAATGCTCTTCGTAAAAATTCGACAAAAAATCGAGAGTTCAATATTTTTTGAATCGGCTTTCGCCAAAATTCATCAAACTCTTGCCTCTATCACTTATGTTTAAATGAGCTAAATCAGAGGATACCGATTGAGCACTGTCGATCGTGGCTTACGTGGACTGGCTCATAAACACACCTTTTCTAGAACCACATGCATGCAAACATTCGTTCAAACTCTTTTCTAAACTATTCATTTTTTCGAGAAAAAAACGCATCAAAGAGAACAACGTTGTAACGCTTTTCAAAAAACACTTGTTTTTCAATAGAAGAAGGCTAAAAACGCATTTGAATGCATAGCGAACAAATGCGTCCAAACGCATAAAACTGAATGCATTCAAACAGTGTCTTTAAGTTGCGTTTTAATTTGAAAAAATGCGTTCAAAAGATAAAAGATGCGTTTAGCGCGTTGAACTTAAAAAGGAGGCGCTGAAACGCAAAAATAGCGCTTTTTTCCTAAAAGTTTGCGTTGGAACGCATTTTTATACAAATTATTTTTCATGGGTACTTCTTCACAAATATCAAAAACTCTGTTCTACAAAAACAGAACAAAAATGTTCTGTTTTATTTGGAACAGAATTTTTGATATATCCCAATAACAGAACACTTTTGTACTGTTTTCGGAAAAAATCGAGGAAGAAAGCGTGTACTTCTCTGTACTTCTTGTACTTCTTCGTACTTTTTCGTACTTCTTCGTACTTCTTGGTACTTCTTCGTACTTTTTCGTACTTCTTCGTACTTCTTGGTACTTCTTGGTACTTCTTGGTACTTCTTCGTACTTCTTCGTACTTCTTGGTACTTCTCTGTACTTCGCTGTACTTTTCCGTACTTTTGTACTTCGGAAGTACAGAAGTCCGCTTGTTCCCCCTTGAGAAATACACAATTATAGGTGTGTAAAACTATCGGTATTTATATACTTCATCTCTATCTCTTTCCATTGTCGTGAGTCCTCATTGTCCGGAATAATTAGTATATTTCAACCAGTAGATGAAGACAAAACAAACACTATTACTAAATTTTTTGCAAGATGTCTACTAAGCAAAAAAAAAATTTTTCAAAATCTGAAAAGTAACGTTCGGAGCATAGGCGGCGGAGCCACGAGGCCTGGGTAGGCACAAGCCTACCCTAGGTTGGAGAGGTAAAGGCTTGGGTAGGCTCAGGTAAAGGCTTGGGTAGGCTTAGATAAAGGCTTGGGTAGGCTCGAACCAGTACAGATAAAGGCTTGACTAGGCTCAATTTAATATAAAAATTTTCTAATATTATTAATTTTCGTGTTCTCCTGGCAGATGACGCGTTACTGCAAGGTCAGTCCACATTTTATCTATTACAAACTCGTGTTCAGTGGCATACTAATTGGTTTTTGTTGACGTCTATATCTACGTCGAATTCTTTATTTTCAATATAATATAAGATAATTTAACTGCTGTTCTAAACTTCTATTCAAAATAACCACAGACGGCGGAGCCATTAGGCCTGAATAGACTCAAGCCTACCCTACGTTGATGGAGAGTAGGTTTCGGTAGTCTGAAACTAGGACAGACCAAGGCTAGGATAGACTCAGTTAAATATAAACGTTTACTCTTATTGTTTAGTCTTCATATTCGTTTGACAGATAACGCATTTTTACAAGGAGTCCATATTTTTTCTACTGCTAACTCGCATCCAGTGAGGTAGTGATTAGTCTTCATTGGCATCTATATCGTCGTCGGATTCTTGGTTCTTAATATAAGACGGATGAATTGCTTTTTGTAGATTTCAATTTAAAATAACATTTGAATTTTAGGCACTTGAATAACATTACTCCTTTCGTATGCCGATACCAGCTAAATAAAATCAGATTATGTCTTTCTTTCACAATAAAACAAAAAACGGCTAAGAACAGTTTTGATGAAAATTCATCTTCTGTTGAACTTGTATCGATCAGTTCAAAAGATAGTTAAGGTGAAACAGGATTATATGCAAAAATGTCATTGTTAAAACTATAAAACCTTGACATCAACTTGATCAAGCATCTATTCTGATTTCCTTTCAAAGAATCAAGATAGAAAAAATATTTTGGTGTTGAATAGCATTATTTCTTCTTAGACTTCTCTTTTACTGCTTTTTAAAGTCTTTTTAAGTTACTTCGTTAGTACTTGTTGTGTCCAGAAACAATAACGCATTAGATAGTTATTACACTTATAAAGAATTAAAATCTATCAACAAAAACCTATAACGCTCAACATTATAAACAAATGAAGAAAACTATTTTTCGAATCGCTCCCATTCATGTAAATATATTCGAGTTGAAATAAGATTAAAATCGATTATAATCATACGACCTGAATCAATTTTAAATCATTTTTTACCTGATATCAATTGAAAATAACCGAAAAAAAAGCCAAATTTCATTGATTATTACGATTAGTTCCATAAATCGATAAAAGTTTCATAAAAAAAAGATTTTTCTTTGTGATAAATGAAAAAGTCTTCACGCGAATTTTACCGGTTTGCATCAATCTTATTAATTTTTTTATAACGTTTTAGCGAGAATGAATCGTAATAATCAATGAAATTTTGATTTTTTTCGGTTATTTTCAATAAAAATCGGTTAAAAAATGATTAAAAATTGATCAAAATCGTAGGATGACAATCCATTTTTTATCGGCTATTACCCGATTTTAATCTGATTTCAACTCTATTTTTTTACGTAGACAGACCTGGTTTGTCTGAAAAGTTGAGCCTACCCTAGAGTGAAATCGTTCCGCCGCCTATGGTTCGGAGATAAATAGTTTGCGAAAAAAACGAACAAGTAAATAGTATATTATACTTTTACATATCTGTCATAAGAATTCATATCAAATATTCTCTATGCACATGTTAATTGTGTAACTTTTGAAGACTTGAACAAAACTCTACTTCACTTTGGATTCTATACAAAGAAAAAGTATTCATCTGATTTTATTTCGTGTACGACAAATAAATTGGTAGATTATTATAACATACTTCAAAATTGAAGTAAGTTTTTTTTGTCTACTCTTAAAATGAAACAACAATCTGAGATAGAATATTTTAATTCACAAAAAAAAATCCTTATGTTTTGTTATATAATGATTTACTGAGACATAAATTACTGTCAAAATCGATTGAATCTATGCAAGGCTACGATAAAAAAATACATATATTTTTGTTTATCTTTTTTTAAATGTTATACATTGTTTCAATATGATGTGCAAGATCTAATCGATTTAGTTTATTTGTTGAAAGAATTGAATGTAATTGAGCGACAGTCGGTGATGGTGATATACTATTACACCAAGTAGATATAACTCTACCAGCTGGATATTGAAGACTTTGTGATAACCAATGATCAATTTCGGATTCATCTATTCCAATTAATCGTGCTAATTCAACCCATTCAGGTGATCGATTTTGTAATCTGTGTGATTGTTGATAAGAATTATAATCATCGATGTTTGTATTATAATGTGAACCTATTTAAAAAAAACTCAAAGTACAAGAAATTATATCAGTAAAAACTAACTCCTTCTTGAAGGTGGTCTTTGAACATAATTATCTTTACTAAGTTCTTTAATAATTAACATACGTAAATTTGAATCCATTTTATCTACTAATGTTTCACTTGCTAATGGAAGATGAGATTTTGGTGACAATAATTTTTGTTTTAATTGATCATTATTATTTATTTGTTGATTATCAATTTCTTTATCATCATTAATTATATTAACTTCATTAGCAAATAAAACAGTTCGTTTTATATTTGACGATGAATTACTATGATGTTCTTTGTCTTCAGTTAGATTTGATGACATTGTTGTTGATAATATATGTGAATTAGTATCTTGTTGTTCAAGATCAGAAGAAATTTGTTGATCTTTTATTTCATGAAATTCTTTGTCAAGTGTTTTTTTTAAACGTACCTTTTGTGCATCATTAACTATTCATAATATTATTGTTAATTCAGTTAGAATAATTAGTCAAATAAACTTACTTGATCGAATATTAGGTGATGAAAAAATAAGACAAACATCTTCAAGATTTAATCGATGTGCTTGAAGAATATCAGTAGTTTTTAAATTTAATTTTCTAAATGTACCCATTTCTAATTGATCAACTAAAATAATACACAATTATTTATATTAATATATTGTTTATTTTACTTACCTATTGTAGCATACATGATTTGTAATAATTGTGCATTTTCTTTCCATAAATCACGTTCACGTGCAACAAATGTTAATCGTTGATCTGATGTAAGACGTTTTCGAAATAGATTTGGTTCGTCAATAGATAATTGTGTAATTCGTTTTTGAACGGAAATTTTTTCTTTATCTTCTATTTCTTGAAAAAGATTTAAAAAAGCTGTTCGATAATAGCATATATCGTCAATCATGGATAACAAGTTATCAAGAGATATATCCGATGGTTGTTGTTTTGTTAAATCGATTTCATTTTGATAATCATCAGTATTAATATTTTGTATTATTTTTGAACAGATGCTATTTAGTTTTGAGCGAATTTGTTCACGTTCACGTATTAATCCATCAATTTGTTCTTGATGATGATCAACAACATCTTCTTGTGGAACATTTTTTTTGCTTCTCTTGGTTGATGATGAATCAATTCTTTTACCACTAGATTTTTTACTAGATGATACAGGTCGTGCGGACATACTTATATGTAAAACGACAAAAAGAAATAAATTAAATCTCTATTCTTGTAGTATTATCTTAATATATATATTTTTTTCTCATGTTGTTCGTATATATTTTAGAATTATTATCGATATATGTTTCAGATCATATATCAAATGTTGATGAAATCCTTACCTTTCTTTTTTTTTTTGTAATCAAATAATAACAAAAAGTGATGACTGAAAAAAAATTGGAATGTCTTAAATTATAATTTAAAGAGAATAATAAGAGAACGAGAAAAAGGTAAAAGTTCGATTTTATGACTTTTTGCATACTGATGTTTGTGTATTTGAACGATGTGTGTGTGCGTGTCTCGTTATGAGTCGATGGGAAAGAAAAAAAAACTGAAGAATGAAAAAAAAAACGAAGCGTATAACAATTTAAAAATATAAGTAAGAGAGACGTAAAAATAACAATTGTGTTATTTTTATTAAACATTTTTGTGAATCGAGCATATGGATTCAGCACTCTAATTTGTCAAATGATGGAAAGAAGAAAAAACACAACTATGTCGATTATATATATTGTATTATACATTCAGAAAATGAATTGCAAAAACTTTTTTGCTATCGATTTAAAAATTGTTTTTGACAACTCAATATTGACATCATGGGTAAAGCCTTATTAAGATGAAGATATCGCTAAAAGACAACCGTATATGTACTTTTGTTCAGATGAAATAGATATTTTCGTCATATAATCAAGAAAAAATAAGCTTGTAAAAAACGGTTTTCTCTGTAGATATATCAATCAAATGTACTCGCTCATAAATGATTGTAAATGAAGATAAACGAAATTTGTAACAAAAGTCTATAGATTACTATGTCGTTAAAATGACACACGTGACTTTTGAAAAAAAAGTTTCTTTTATTGTATTTAGATTTAGTTGCATGTTAAGGACATTCAAACAGAATTTTGAACTATTTATTACAAGTAAGACTTCACTCCATTTTTTTTTCTTTTATTCGACATTTGTCTCTCCATTTTTACCTGAGGAAAAGACAACAGACTTCAAGATCGAAATCTCCACTGTTTCTCTCTCGCTCGTACCTTTTCATACATGTACCCTGAATTCTTTGAAAAATAATCAACTATTATTGCTCGCCCAAAATTCTTATTTAATCTAGTTCATATCATGAAATTAGTAAAGCAACAATGTTTTAGTATTCAGAGAAAATATTTATTGAAGAAAAAAAGAGAAATAATTAAGAAAATTAAATTCAAGCAATTTAATAAATGAAACTATCGATTAATCATAGATAGTAGGCAAACTACTGTTGATTGAATAGATTGTCTTCTTCGCATAATAATGACTTTTTGTTAATCAAAATGAACTTAAATTGATAATCTATAGACATTGTCTAACATTTATTTTCAAAAAATAAAATCTGGAATCAATGGCTTTGTTTGTCTATTCTTCTTTCATCTTAATACTATCTGTTTCTAGCTAATATACAGGATAACCGATAGAAACTATAAATATTTGAATATTTTTATAGATCAGTACTCGACAAAATCTAATGCATTAAATCATCACATCGAATTCGTTATCGTAGTCAAAAAACTTTAATCCTCATTAGTGTATTATTTACATTTGCATAATTGCTTTGTTTAATTAAAAAAAAATCATAAACTTTGAGTGTTCATTTCAAGCATACTCTTAAAATAAGTTGATCCGTTCTTTATGGTTGCTTTGTCTTCTGTTAGTAAAATTGATAATGAATCAAAATAATTTTTATCGTTTGCTCAGTCAGAGTCACAGAAAAGTAACTGACATACAATGCAAAAGTCTTTGGAAAAATGTCAACATTTGCTGTACCATATTGCTGACCATTAATCAAGCAGTGTTCTGTTACATGAATTGATCAAATTGAAAGGAAAATATACCAAAATGTTGCTCATCAAAACCTAGATCGATATCAACTTTGGCAAATTTGCTAGATTTGTCCCTGACTCTTTGATGGAAATAAGTTTGAAAAATGAAATTTTTCTAAAATTTGTATCATTTATTGAAAACTTTTTAGACCATAAAAATTTAGCAGAGGAAAGGATTCAAACAAAACATGTTTTTAGCCTCGTAAAACGACTAGGTGGTAAAAACAACCAACTTACTCCGTCTTTTTTAGAATAAAATTATTTTGATATACAAGCCAAGAATAAATATAGCTTCCAATATATCGTTGAAAAGAGCACTCTTTACACTATAAAAAGTTAGCAGAAAACTTAGTTTTTCATTTCCCTTCTAATGAAAATAAAACTAGCAGAAAAAGAAAAAGATGCTGTTGCTCGACAGTTAAGTTACAAAAACTTTTTTCGAGATGTGTAGTCTCGAGCTTTTCTTCGTCAGGTTCCTTCTGCAAAAAAAAACCTTTTAGTCTCAACAAACCGTGTTTAACGATTGGAATCTTATCTCAAACGCAATGTGTTACCTCGAATAGTTTCTTCGTGAAATATTATTTTTAGTGCATATGTGCGACAATGAATACCATCCTCGAACGTTTCACATATACTGGAGTTATCATTCAAACATAATTTTTCTCTTGTATTTACCTTATCTCGACTATGTTAACACAATTACTCTTGTACAACCTTGCAGATATTTTTAGGTCGAATTTTGTAAGAAATCACTTTAAAGTGATTGAGTTATTGTTTTCTGATGAAGAACGTCCATTAAAAAACAAACGCTAGTTTTTGCAACGTGGATCATTATTCATGATGACTTCGACTTATCCATTGAGAAACTTCCATGGGACAAGGGGTCTGTGATAAACATTTCAAAGTCGCACCATTGAATGATAATAGGTTAGCGTTACCATATACACACATTATCTCAGAGTATACTAACCACTTAATTTTAGATTATGAATCACGCATGTTAATGATAGTAATATAAGCATGTGAGATTGCCGTTAGCATTAAAAAACAAAAAAAAAAGTAATTCCTTTTAGAGTCAAAAAAAATAATCAACAAATACATGTTGAGTGCAAATTCCTATTGAATATGTTTTTACAAGTGGAAGGTAATGTTTGAATCCATAACTCGAGTACATGAAAACCAATGAAAGCCAAACTAGTGCTTGTGATCAGAACTTATTGTCACATACATGTACTTAAAACATAATCTCAATGTCGTAAAAAATAGTAGTACTTCAGGTGTCGGAATAATACAGAAATCATTGCAGTTTTTGTTGTATGAATATTAGAAACTATTCTACTGTTTCCGATATAAAATCTACAGGACAAATATAGAAAGCTTTCCTGTTATGAGAAAAAAACCATTACCAAAACTTTAGCTTAGTAGGTATGCTTGAGTTTTTACAAGTCTATTTGTTAGACTTTCTGTTTAAGAGTTGGAATTGAACATAAATGAACGCCATCTATGGTTGAATTATTCTTTTTCATGTTTATTATTATTGTTTATTTAATTGAGAATTGTGGTGCTGCGGTTACGTGCATGCTTCCATTCATCAATTCTTGATTCGTTTTTTTTTCTTATTTGATCGATTGAGTTGTTCGTATAAATGACCTCATTATTCAACGGTGAACAAGAAAGTTTATTTATTCATCATGAAAAGCCATCGATAAATCTTCAACAAACTGAAAATTTTGATAATATTAAATCAATATAATTATTCGAAAACCATTCAATCAATATTTGTTTCACATCAGAATACAATACAAGTGAATGATATTTCTGAATAATTTCAATTCGACCTATTCCTTCAGCTTCATCAATAGCATCAACACAGTTACAAAATCAGCATCGACAACCTTATCGATCTTCATCATTTCACGATATAATATCATCATTACAAGTATCATCTCAGCAAACACGATATACTAATTCAAATGATAATGAACATCGTCTTGCGATTTGGCAAAAAGAATTTGATAGAAAAATTGAACAAATGAATGAAATAAAGGCTACGGATTTAAATAAATTAAAACTTTACTATGAAACAAAATTACGTGAATTAGAAGATAATAATAAACACTTAGAAATTATTTCAGGTCAGATAAATGAAGAAAATAAACGTTTAAAAATCGAAGTTGAACATGAAAAGGAACAAAATAAAATAGAACAAGTAAAATTTTTAGTCTTTTAAAATTAAAATCATGTTTTTTTTTTTTTCGTATTATAATACAGACAGCATTACAACAACATTTAAAAGAATTTAAAAGTACTCTAGAAAGAAAAATTCATGAAATAAAAATAATTCATGCTAATGACAAACAAGAAATTAAACAACAACATTCAAGATTATATCAAGATTTATTAGATGAAACAAATCAAGTAAATATCCATTCTGTTGGCGCTATAAAAAGACATACTCTCTTATTATCTTAGCGTTTAAAAAAAATGGAAAATAATTATAAATATGAACAATTAACAAATGAAACAGTTATTGATGAAATGGAAAAACGAATGGTAGATTTACGTTCTAACGTTCAGCATCTTCAACAGTTCAAACAAAAATTTGAAGATGAAAAAATTCAACTAATTAAAACTAATGAACAATTACAATTACAGGTATTTTGATAAAATAGAATTCTGACTACTATCTATGATCAATGAAAAAGTATTAACTAAATAACATGCAAATTTTTTCTATACAAAAAAAAATCAATTATGCACAAAGTATTATTTGGGAAGAGGTGAGAAAATACCTAGACAAGTCTAACGATTTGAACTATTCGTATTGCATATTCTTCATCTTACATGATGTTTCTTTGGTCAGTTTCAAATAAAAAAAAAATCCGATAATAATAGAATCATGAAAGTACGTATAAGACTTTCGTATTCAGTGGAAAGAAAGACTGGCAACCAAAACTTGACATTGTATTCCTGTTTGTCATGGTTCGACAAACTCAAAACTCTGTGGCAGAAATTAGTCGTGTGCTACTCCTCTAGAATATTTAGCTGAGTAATAACATAATGATTTTTGCCATATCAGTTTCAAAGTTGCTACAATTTTAAAATTATGTTAGTGACCTTGGCTTATAGGTGTTTAGTATACAATTTAGAAACTAGCTTGCAACTTCAATGACTATTGATCTATAATTTTGTTTCGAATGATAACGTATGAAGGCTTGCAATAATCTTTCTAGAGCTCAAAATTTTCACTTGCACGATGAAACGAAGGTTAACCTAATGCATAAAAAGAAACGTATCCTCTCACATTGTTGCAACAAATGCATATCTTGTGTATCATTGATCTTTTTTTCCTAGAGAAATATGCAATTCTCACTCGTTTACCGTAATGAAAACAACTTCGATAACTTATCTTATCAAAGTTGTAATTTCGATACGACACACACACATATATATATATGAATAGTAGAAGAATTAACAATAATAATATAAATACTAATTTAAAATGAAGGTCAAACGTGTTGGTAGACTGTTGCGTGCTTCTTTACCTACATTCTCTCGCTCATGTTATGACCTTGCATTCTTTCTATTTTACAAAGATCTCTTCATTTGTGATCCGTGAGAATGTGCACTACATCAATAAGGTCCTATGTCTATTAGCACGCTTTTTTTCGCATAGAGAATCTAAAGAACGTTTTTTTAGATTATGATGTAAAAGAGCAGTGAAGTGACTTCGCCATTATGTTTTCAATAAAGAAACGTATTTTTCCATAGGCTGTTGTTTTTTATTAGTTGTTTTTCAAGATTTGTTTAACATAAAACTAGCACATTGCTATGAAGGAAAAAGCAAACTATTGTCTATATCAAACGTAGATATTATTACAGACATAATTATTAAAAAAGAAATCAATAAGCTGCAGAAATTATTTTAAAAAAAACGATTCTCAGAGTGAGCTCTTCTAATGTGTCGAAGGCTTTAGAGCATGTGATGGATATATCATGTAATGATCTATCAACACATTCACCGATAGTTTTGATGAAAATAAAAGATTTTATTAATAAATGATATTGTTAAAGACAAAATACTGAAAATTTCCAGTTAGATCTGTCGCTCATTTAACGATGATAAGAAAAATAAAAGCAGAACAAGACAAACGAAAACATCAAAAATACCATAATTTAGTTTGATTGATATATATCATTACATTCCACCATCGGTTACATTAATGTTGTCCTTTCTGTCTGATGACTATTTATGAATCTGAATAGCTCTTTTAGTTATGATAGCACAAAATACTTGTGATGAATATAAGAAGAGAAGTGAGACAACTTACAATTGATTTTGCTAGAGCATTTTCGAACTAGTCCATTATGTTTATGTCATGATACACAATTCAAAAATATACATAGTAGTTAATCATTATTCTCTTCAAATCTATCAAAAAAAAAAAACAAAATCCTAAAATATCGTAAAAATTTCTGTTTCGAAAAGTGTTTTTTTCATTTTTTTTTCTCTGCTTATGATTTTTTGATCGTACAATCCAAAGTTCTCTGTCAATCTTTGTTCTACATATTTTATTTTTCTTTTTGGTTAAAAGAGTATATTAGGATGCAGGGCATGAAACAGCCACTTTTTTGAATTAAGTATTGTTACTATTTGTATAAACAAACAGTTATATAAATAGATGCCTATTTTCCTAGAGAGTTTTTTTTTGAGACCTTCAACTTGTCACTCTTTTGTATTCACATATAAAGTATGAATTTTAATAAAAGATCTTTGTCATGCCCTGCATCCTAACAAGCTCTTTCAATTAAAAAGAAAATTAAATGTATAACATGAGAGTCGATCAAAAATTTCAAATTATCAAATGAACTATTTTTAATTCTTGTTTGATAAACATCTTTCTCAAATGTCGTGATATAGAGGCGAAGATTTCAGGCGATTTGAATGTATCTAGCGCGAAATTAATTTTTGAGTAGGATGATGTAATGATTACTTTCAAATTGATTTTATTCTCATCTTTTAAATCCATTTTCCTATTTGTTTTTTTTTTAGGTTCAAGAATTAACAAATAAACAGCGTCATATTGATCGTGATCATACTGATAAAATTCAACGTTATGAAAATGAATTAAAATCTGTTCATCTTCGTTGTGAATCAAGTATTGATTATTTACGTAAAGAAAATGATATATTAAAAAGTAAATCAACGAAAACAATAGATGATTTAGAAAAAAAATTATCAAATATAAAAGAACAATTTCATCATGTAGAAAAATCATTTGAACAAAAATTAAATGAACAACGAATAATCTATCATAATAATATAAAACAATATGAAGATGATTATGAAAAACGACTTCAATTACTAAAACAAGAATTAAAAGAACAAAATAATAAATTTCTTTTATCTGTTCAACATAATGAACACATACAAAATGAATTACGACAACAGAAACATCAAACTAAAATTGATTTTGAAAATCAAGTAAAATTTAGTTCTTTGAAAACATTATTTATTTGCTTTTTTTCTGTTTTTTTTTTTCATTTTTAGATTCAAGAAATGAATGAAAAAACACGTGAAAATGAACAAATATTAATCAATAAATTGAAACGTGAATATGATCAAGCTAATCAACAGTTTGTCTTTATATATTAATAAAAAATATATCATAAAAATTCTTTTTTTGTTTTTTTTTTTAATTTAGAGATCAAGAAAAATTACGTGAAACTTTTAATAAAGAAATTGAACAAATCAAACGTCAATACGAACAAATAATTGAAAAAAAAGAAGAAAAAATAAAGAATGATTTACAAAAATTTAATCAATTATCTGTTGAAACAAAACGTACACATGAAATTGAAAAACAACAGGTTTGTTTATATTAAGAAAAATATTTTTTAAACTCATGGAATTGCACGAAATTTCTGAGTGTAAAAATGTAACACATGGAAACTCGATAAATCTTATGGATTATTCATGCCATGAAAATCATAATTCATAATTTATAGTCTACTTAAACGTTCTCCGATAGTCGTATTGACAAACGACTATCTTCAGTTTGATATGTCATAAATGTCATGCATATGGCAATAATGATCAGAACCAGGTCAAGGTCTCAAGATTAGATGGGTGTATTGTAAAAATGTCTCATAGTGGTGATAAAAAAATTTTAAAAAAATTGTTTATTTTTATTAGGTAATAATGAATAATTCTCAACTATAAAAGTGATGTACACAGTTCGCTCGCTTTCACGACCTCTAATAACGATCATAAAGTTTTACAACTTATATTGAATGAATGAAAGAAAATATTGTAAGATATTTGTCAAATGCAATGCTTATCAATTACCATATTACATTAAGAATAGGCTTGTCGAGAAATATATTGATCGAAAATTTCGATAAGAGTTCAAATATAAGTACCACTTACTATATATTTTTAGTTTTTCATTGACGATCATGAACTTGATGTTGTAGTATCTTGTTCTAAAAATATTTTGACTTTTATTGATTCATAGAAAATAAAAAAGAGTGTTTCTTTTTTTTTTCTTCGTCCTTGAAGATAAGAAAAGTATGCCTGACATGTAATATCATACCGTACGGTTTTGAATAACTTCTGTAGTAAAATGAAATGATTCACATGTATTAAAGATCAAGACTTTGTCTTTCTTTGTTGTGTATTGACTAATATGAATTCACTAATACATATGTAATACGAATCTTGAGGATATAACAAACTATTTAATTCTAAAAATAGTTTTAGAATGTGGTTACTTTAATATTTTACAAATAAAATATTTTACTCAACCATTAACACGTTCCGTTTTTCATGAAGTCATCAATGAATTATGATTTATCATATGAATTGAAGTACTTTTCACGACTTGGGTAATAATAACAGTTCTAGTTCAGTATAGTCACATCAGTGAATTTCGAAACGCTTGTTTCGAATACTAACATATCTTTAGTTAAGTCTTAATCAGAGCTCAAAACTTTTAGTCATCATTCCAAATCAATTATTAGAAATGTTATTGTCTGTTCTCTAGTCAATAAAATTAAACAATGTAATTTACGTACAGAGTTTAATAGTCATGGTAAACTTAAAAATTCGAAATGACAACAATAACTTTCCAAACCATAAAAAACGATAAAATTATTTTCATCTTCATTAGTTTTAATTTTTTTTTTTTTTTTATGGACAAGATTGTTTTTTTTCCTCTAAATATTCTACCAATTACAAGTAAATTCTACATCATTCAGCTATTAGATGTATTTTATTAATGAAAAAAAATTTCATTCTAACAGGTAATATTTTTAATCATCATTTTAAATTATAATTCACTGTACTATCTCACATAGTCCATATAATTTTTTTATTCAATATTGATATACAATTGATCATATATATCACATATCTTTCGAACATTTTGCATTGAAACTAATTCTTTTTATAAAAAAAAAAACGGGAACAAGAACACAATTAATTGTTTAACTGTCACTCTGTAGAAAACTAAAAAAGATTTTTTATTATTGAAAGAATAATTAAATTCTTATATATAATTTTTTTTTTGGTGTTTTTATTCGTAAATAGATTATCAATGAATATGAACAATTTATTCAAAAACTTGAAAAGAATTATACATACAAAGCTGATGAATATGAAAAACGTATTGAAGTATTAATTTCTAAAACACATGAACAATTAAAATCAATGGAAGGTTTGTTTTAAAACGAAAAAAAAAACGCTTTACATTTTCGTTCTAATTTTATTGAAATATATCTTTTCTAGATGAATTTGAAGTACGTCATGCTAATCAACAATTAATTATTAGTGATCAACAAAAAATTATTCAAGCTTATAAAGATGAAGAAAATCAAACAAAAATTTTGTATGAAAAACATTGTAAAGTTTTAAGTGAACAATCTATACGTGAAAAAAATGAAATTAAAGCCGTATGTTGAAATATTTAATTACATTTTTTTTTGAATAAAAAATAATGAGGGCAAAAGTTATGATTCTTGTTTAGAAGTTATCTCGAGAATCTTGAAAAATTCTTGTTTTTCTCTCTACGAAAATCTTCCAATCAGACTTCTGAGTTCCATTTACAGAACTTCCAATCAGAGATGAAGAAAGCAATATAATATAGCTAGATGTTTTTATTGTGTACAGAATAAATTATTTTAAACAAAAAGAAATACAATATTTTTGAATTAAATTCATTGAAAACATAGAAAATATTTATACTTCATGTTGGCATATTATCAATTAATATTTCCTGACATGATAATTAAAAATTTTGATCTACATATTTCTAATTAGATCATAGCATTTAGAGTTGTTAATGCAAGGTTCAAACAAGTATTTTAAATTACTAATTAAATTCAATTCTATCTTCAGTCTATCCACACCTTCATAAAAATCTATCTAGGGTCAGATATATTCAAATCATATAAAATTTTCAGTTTCATACCAACACGTTGTCAGGAGGTATTCAACAAAAAAAAAGCCTTAAAAATAGATCATTTGGTAACTAAAAATTCTCTGTGAGGCTTCATTCTATATGCTTATTTTTTTTTTTTGTTTTTTTATTTGAAAGAACAGGTAAATCATGACAATGCACTTTTTTTATGCGGAGTTAAGTCCAAAGTATCAAAAAAATGACGTTGTATCAAATACAAAGATAATTATGTAATTGACCATAATTAAAATCCGTCAAATAGATGATGATAGAAATGGCAAAAAAAGGGAATTAGAAAATACTAAAAAAGAAACTCATATTATTTACAAAAGATCAGCATTCGGACTATCTTCTTATACATTTATCTTAATTTGTATTTTTTTTCTTTTGAGAAGACGAAGCATAGCCTTTAGATTTAATCAAAAATGATTTGTTTTTATTTTTAGCAATTTGATATATGTATGAAAAATTTAGAAAAAAATTTCAATATATTAGCATCAAAAAAAGAACAACTTGAATGTAAATTATCATTTTTAAAAGAACAACATAAACATGAAATGATCGAATGTCGTCTATCATATGAAAATACAATTAAAGGTCTTCTATCAAATGAAGTTCGTCTTGATTTAGAAAATACAATACATTCATTAAAACAACAAGTTATTTATTTACAACAACGGACAGCTTTTCTTCAACAAGAACTTGAACAATATATACAAATCTATGGTCATAAACTATCATTATCTCAATGATAAAATTAAAATTTAATATGATTATTATTCGTGTTTTTTTTTCTTGTTTTGTATCTGAAAAATTATTTTTCTTTTTATATTCTCAAATTTTGAATTTTTTTTTAAATTAGTATCCGTCCATTTTTTTTTTCTATATATAAACTTAATAAATCGGTAGTTACAATAGTTGTTGTTTTTTGTTTCTATCAGCTTCTCTATAGAGTAACCATGGTCTTATTCTTTATGATGTATTTATGAGAGGTCGGCATTCCTTTTCTCTCTTTTCTTTTTTTCTCTTCTGTCTCTGATTTCTTCACATCGTCAGATGCGTCTACATCAGCGCGAACGCCTGCATTTTTCTGTTTATGAAGTGTCTCGAACCATGCTCGATGACGTCATCAAGAAAACAAAACGTAGAAATGGTGTAGTATATATATATATATACATCCATCTTTTATTTCACATAATTCATACGAAATAAAATATAGAAAAAGATACAACGTCACACAGATTTAATGATGTTGTTTTGTTTTTCTTTTTATTCATGTTTCTTTTTTCTTTAATATAGATTGAATATTCCATTGATGGAAGTTTTTGAAGCATTTTATCGAAATCCTATTCTACGTGAATATTTCAATCCAAGTCAATTTCATGTATCATCATGGGTACGTGATCCAGTTGGTATACATCATCCATTTGTTTTTGATTTTGAACAAAAATTTTTTGATAAAACTTATGCCCATAATATCTATGCCTGGATGAATAAATGGTGGTGGTTAAGTATTGTTTATTCAATAATATATGTTGGATTAATTTATTATGGTCGTTCATTAATGGAAAAACGTGAACGTTATGAATTACGTTTACCATTAGTTTTATGGAATGTTTCATTGGCTTTATTCAGTATATTTGGTATGATACGTTGTGTACCTGAAATGATCTATGGAGTAGCTAAAGAAGGTTTACAATATACTATTTGTGATAATAGTAATATATTTGGTGTAACTGGATTTTGGTATGCATATAAAATGTAAATTTTACTAATATTTATTTATTATATTTATTTTAATAGGATAACGATATTTTGTATATCAAAAGTTCCTGAACTTATTGATACATTATTCATTGTATTACGAAAACAAAAATTAATTTTTCTTCATTGGTTTCATCATGCTACTGTTTTAATTTATGCATGGTATAGGTAAGAATGAATATTTTGTTTTTTTTCAAACAAGAAAAAAAAACAACTGCATTAAAATTATTTATTAATAGTTATCATGATTGGACAGCTAGTGGACGATGGTTTGTATTTATGAATTATAGTGTTCATGGTAAATATTGAATTATTTTCTTTTATTTATTTATTTATTTATTTTTTCTCATCTTTTAGCAATGATGTATTCATATTATGCATTTCGTGCTATGAAATATCGTATTCCTAAATGGATACAGGTCACAGTTACTGTATTTCAATTATCACAAATGGGTGTTGGATGTTTTGTTAATTATAAAGCATATGTTTATAAACAAAATGGTGCCTCATGTAATGTTGATTATGCTAATATATTCTGGTCATTTGTTATGTATGCAATTTATTTTCTTTTATTTCTTCATTTCTTTTGTGTATCATATTTATCAAAAACACCAACAGCAAAAATAAATGATGAAAATGAACGTAAAAAGAACAAATAAAATTTGGAATTTGAGTTCAAGATTATGGTCTAGGTCAAATGATTTTTTTTTTCTTTTTTTTGTCTTATCATTGTTGTCATTGTCGTTGTTCTTTTTACAATAAAACTCAGAAGATCAGTAGCCTTTACTCTTTTTTTGATTCATTATATCTTATCAAAGCAAAGTAGAAGGTTCTTTTTAAAAAAGTGACGAATAAATGAAAATGTACGTTCTAATGTATTCTTATCTACTAGTTAGTTTTTTTTTTGTGTGCAGAACAAAGAATGACGGAAGGAAAAAAGTCTGGTCCCTATGAGGATCGAACTCATGACCTCCGCGTTATTAGCACGGCGCTCTAACCGGCTGAGCTAAGGGACCGCTGTCAATTGAAGCAAAAAAATAATTGTAGAACATTGATATTATAAAGTGATCGTTTAACATTTTCAGTCCCATAGTAGCAAAAAAGCTACACATGTTTTATAATTATTTTTCACAACATAATTTAGAAAAATGAGTACCTAATCTCTTGAAATGAAGCAATAAAGAGTGCTCTAAAATCCTTCCCAACTATCTGCAAAGGAGATATATAGTCGTTCATTGAGCAAGTTCTGATTGGTGACCAAACTTCACGGAAGAGAAGAGGCGAACTTATTCACTTTTCTGCTAGAAAACAAAAAAAATTCAACAAACGCTGGGGAACAAATCTCCATCAGCTCAATTGTTAGCACATATGCCTGTTGCTGGGCCTAAAGAAGATACAGATATTGTAGTACAAGAGCTTCTCCAGTGTTTAGTAGTATAAAATACAGTTTTTGTGGCATTATTGTTTGTGTAAAAAAAATAAAAATTGTTTTTTATTATTTCATGAAAAACTTGTATAAGTTTTGCAATTAATAAATTTTAGCAATTAAAATTTCTATTCAAGTATAACAAAATTCAATAAAAACTTATACTGAGTACAATACATGCGAGTGCACACGAAATATTTATGTCTTGTGTTTATGTCTAAACTAAGCTAATATAACAGTCTACTTGAATTGAATCCAGCAGAAATAATTTGGGACTGGTAGGGTTAAAAAATATCAAACATAAGTTTATGATTGTTCTTGATGACGTGTTCAAATTTAAAAAAAAAATACATAATAGTAATGCACTGATTGTTCTTTTATGCAACCATCACGTTTTGAATTCATGCTTCTATACTATTGAAGGTTAATTGTAGTTACTTAAGTTTCCCACTCGCTTAAAATCCAATTTAATGCAAAGTATATTTAAAATGTTTGAAATTTTCAAAATATGTTTGGACTGTAATAGAGGCTTATCCATAATTCTATATCGACATTCATTCTATATATATATATAATTAATTTTTGTTTAAAGGAGTATGTCAACATGCAAGGCATGACATATGTCTTTGTTATTACATTCGCATTTGTTATATGGAGAAAAATGTTTTACAATTTCAATACATCTAAAAAATGGTCATCTATTTATAGAAGTGTCTACATATATAATCAAATATGCTCTTTGATAAGAATTTAAGTTTGTATGATCAAAAACAATATACATTGACCAAAATTTGCGAAATAATGAAGATTCATATTTTTTCTGAGGAGAGATAGTCTAACATCTCATTGCAGTGTATTTCATCCTTGAAAACCTTCAATATTGTTTTTATCTATTTCTCAAAATATAAACATATAATCCTCTTTATGATTTCTTCGAGAAAGATTCCTAAAAAAATAGCAAGCCTGCTCTGAAAGAAATCAAAGGTGCAGCTAAATCTCAAATAAAATCATACTTTATCTATGACATTTTGTTTTCTACGCATTCGCAATCTGTTGAATGTTGAATTCAATTGCTCACAAATTAAAGAAAGCAGGTTGATCGCATAGCATTTCTCGAAGACTCGTAACCAATACTCTTCTTCGTGCATACAATACAGTCTATTTTGTTTATCGTATGACTCTACTGGAAATGACACACACAAAGGATATAAATCTAAACACACTAGATGACTTTGAACGTTTATCTTTATGGTTTACTGTCGCAAAGATAAACCCCATGAACTCCTTGGAAAGAGTTCATGCCTTTCGCTGATTGCTGCGCAAATACTACACTTCTACGGTATTGTTCTGACGAATTATTGATTTGCTTCAATCCAGAAATAGAAAAATCGAGTCTACTGGTGTATATGAGTGATGTAAAAAAAAACATAGTTTTATCTTATATTATTGTTTTCTAACCATTTGATGTAAATATCGAACTGTAAGCATGTTTCTTAAATTTAAATTAATCATTTATCTTTTTCGAAGATATTTTCATTGATTTATTTTTGCTCAATTCAGCAATAAACAATAGTATGATTATACAAATAAAAAAAAAAATGAAAAAAAAGTTGAACTGTTGAATTCAAGTGGACGGATAATACATCGAAACAACAAGAAAACCGGCAATGAATACACAAAAAAAAACAACCCATCAATCATGATAACACCTGAGACAAAAACAAAAAGACATACATATACATATATATATCTACCAATCTATCAAGAAGAAGTAATTCAATGAATAAGAATCTATCGTATGAGAAAAAACAAAAAATATATAGATAATGTAATAGAAAACAAAAACAACAACAAAAAGTTTATAAAAAAAAAAAAAAAAAAATTATTTTCCCGTTTTTTTATTTTGTTGTTGTTGTGATTGTGTAGTAAATAGTTTTAAACTATGACGTACAAATTTTTTAATTCCACTATGTGTTGGTGTTTGTTGTTGTTGCTGTTGTTGTGATTGTAAGTGTTGTGGCCATGTTAATTCATCATCATCATCATCATTATCTTCTAGTTGTTCATTAATAATTGTTCGTGCTGTTGCATAATGTATTGTTTGATGATTATCAGGTGTTTTTAATTTCGTACGATTATGATCAGGTAATATATTTGTTTTTTGTTCAAATTGTCTTGCTAATGCACGAACATTTGGTTGTTGATGTTGTTGTTGTTGTTGTTGTTTTTCTTCAATATCTTGTTCACATAATGTTATTGTACCATCATCATTATCATCAATACCACTATTTAAATCAGATTTTTGTTCTTGTCTATCATCATGTCGTTGTACAGCTAACATAATATCATCTTCACTACGATACATTTTCATTTTAAAATTTTTATGTGTTGGACGTTGAAATTTATGTGTACGTGGTGATAATATTGTTGTTGTTGAATTTTGACTAGCTAATAATATAGTTGATGCTGATTTTGGTCGACGATCACTATCAAGTGTTATATGACAATGTGGAGCTAATGGTGCATTTTGTTTTGTCATTGTTGGTGTCATATGTAAACATTCAGTTGATTTTCTTAATGGTGTACAATTATTTTCTAATGTTTTTGTTTTAGTTAATGTTGATGATAATGAAGAATCATATATTATTGTACGATTTGTTGTTGTTTGACGTATTGGTGTTATTAATGAATTTGATGACATGGTTGAATAAATAGATGATGATGTTGATGAAGATGAACTTAATGAATCTAAACAATCTTGAGCCATTTGTGATAGAAGACGATCTAATTCAAATACATGCATATCAATTGTTGTATCTGGCCTAAATGAAATATTTGAATGAAAATATAAAAAAAAAAGAAAAACAAAGATTTAACTTACACTCCTTGACTTTTCATAGCATGTGTCATTTTCTCAAATAATTCACGACGGATTTCTTTAATCATTGAATTACGACTTCGAGTTAATTCATTTTGAATCTGTTTTTTTATTGATATTTCTAGATTGTCCATGTAATGAGCTATTCCCACTGAAAAGAAACAAACGAAAAAAAAATAGAAATTAGTTCTCTTTTTATGAAAAATTTTCATAAACAAAATTAAGATGCATTATCAATGTACGAAATTAAGATTTTTCGAGTTTAGAATTTGTGTATGAAGTAAACTGCAGTGATGTATTAGACAACTCAAGATGGAAAGAGCCTATAGATCTTATACGATGAAAAACTCGAGAATCTTCCTTCATACAAAACTCACGGATCAATTAAATCATTGTTTTCAAATAAACTTGAAGATTCTCAAGCATATTTATATTCTATTTCGAAAAATCTTATTTCCTACATTTCTATTAATCTACTAATATACCTCGATGATGAACATCAAAAATCATCTTGCATGTGAGTCGTAAGAGAGCAAGCATTTCAATTGTAAATAATTCTAGAATGGATGCAGCAAACAAATAATATATACATGCAATATATATATATATATATATATATATATCAATCAATAAACTTAACTTCATGCGATAGATAAAAACCAAACTGTTTTTTTTTTAAATAAATATTATGCAAATAGCATAGAGCAAATAGTTTGAATGTCGAGCATAAAATGTGCATGCATTCCTGTTTTTTTTGGCTATATCTACCTCTCTCTTACTTGAACAATCGATGAACTCTTTTTCAATATAGGATTGTTACCTCGTAATTTTTCTACAGTTGCCATATAATCTGATTTAATATCATTTATTGATAAATCAGTCTAAAAATTTTAAATATTCACATATTATGTAAAGAAGAATAGAAAAGAAAAATAAAAATAATTACTTGAACATATTCTGGTACACATATTGGTCGTGTTGTTAAACGTTTTTGTGATGATATACGTTCTTGATGAAGTTCACGTTTTATTTCATCCATAGCTTTTGTATGTTGTTTTATCATATCAGCAATTTTCTTTTGTAATGAAGAGATAGTTTGTTGATATTCATTTTCTTGTGTAGCATATAATGTCCGTTCTTGATTCAACCTATTTTAAACAAAAAGAAGGTCTTAACAAAATTCCTTTAGGATTAAAATATGAAACATGATTTAGCTACGATTGCTAATCAGTGGTTTTTATATTATAACGAGACGTTGTTAAGAAGAGACAGTCGTTTTGAGGAGATCCAAATTTTTGATTCTCTCGTTCGTTTCAGATCATGAGTCAGAAAAGAAATCAATTGAAGATGACGAATCTCTCGTATTGTCATCACAGTTTGATTTCTTCAATTATTCAATGCAAGGTTTTAGAAATGAGTATGAATGAGGATGTGATACTTTTACTCCAAATAGTGTTTGTAAGAGAAAAAAAAAGAACATTTTTTAATCCTATGAAACGTATACGTTCTCATAACATACATATCATTTGCTTGTTCAAGTAATTTAACAAGATGATCAATGCGATTTTGTAAATTTTCTTGTCTATTTTTATTATCTTGTTCTAATGTATATTTTTCTTTAAGTTTATTTATATCATCAAAATGATTTTTTTTTAATTGTTCAATTGTTTGTTGTGATTCATTAAGTTGTTGTTTTAATTGTTCACAACGTGTTTGTAAACGTGTTTGTTCATGTTGAAATTCATTAATAACATTATTATAACCATCATCTAAATCTTTTTTCATAATTTGCATTTGTTTTTGATGTGTATCAATAAGTTTAGCTTGATTTTGACTTAATTCAATATTTTCACGATATAATCGATCAATTTCAGTACGATACATTTTTTTAATTTCTTCAATATCTTGTACAGTTGAATTTGTTTGAATAATTGGTATAGTAGATTTTTGTTTTTCAAAATCATTTGTTAATTGTTGTCGTAATTGATTTAAATCATGTTGATGTTGTTTTGAATCACGTTCATAACGTCGATTATATTCTTGTTCAAGACTTAATTTAATTTTTTCAATTTCTTGTTGTAAATGTGAATCAGCTAAATTAAGTGCACGATTTGCTTCTTGTAAACGTTGTTCATATTGATCTTTTTCAGTTTCAAGTGATAAAAGTTTTTCACGATAGCTTATTTCTTTTTCCTAAAAAAAGAAAATTAAACATCTATAATGATTTCGTTTTTCCAACGAAAAGTTCTAGTCACACGAGCAATTAACGAACTAATGTCATTGAGAACTTTGTTCATGCAGTCTTAAGTCAATTTTTTTATATGACTACAGATTTTTGTTGAAAACTCTCAGTTAAATTTCGCAAAAACTAAATCACTCCAGATTTTTTCATTACCCATCAAATGAACATCGTATCGGTGGAAAAGCGATTTGAGACCTGAAAACTGACGAACGTGTGGTTCTGTTCAAATTCATATTATTGCTACGAGTAGGTCTCAATGAGATTAACAAAAACCTAAAAGAATTGAGGACCATAACCCAACAATGAAGAGTTATGATCGTTGAAATTTTAAGAGTTATTGAATGACTATCAAACGCGTCTATAGACTAAATCCAAGGTCAAAACTCCGACTCCCTTTTAACTTACGAGGAAATTTCTTCGAGTGTTAATCGCTAATCGAACTCATATTTTGCCCATAAGTAAGACTCAATGAGACTAGTAGAAGCCCGGAAAGATTCTTCCCCATACGCTGTCCTTCAGAGTTACGAGTTTTATTGGTTTTTTGACCTCTGACAATGGTATTTATAGGGAAGCCTAACAATGGAATTTTGATCTGAAATTTTGTCCATAAACAGGTCTCATGGTCACTAGAATGTCTTAAAAATTTCAGCTAAAATGAACGTTTCTTTCTCAAGCTATTAAATTTTCAAGGAACGATCATATTTCAAAGGCAAAGATCAAAAAATCGAGCCTCTTGGAAACTCAATATTTCGAGAAAGAAACGTTCATTTGAGCTGAAACTTTTAAGACATTCTAGTAACTATGAGACCTGTTTATGGACAAAATTTCATTGTTGGGTTTCTCTATAAATACCATTGCCAGAGGTCAAAAACCAGTAAAACTGTTGTAACTCCGAAAGAACAGCGTATGGGGACGTATCTGTCCGGACTTCTACTAGTCTCATTGAGTCTTACTTATGGGCAAAATATGAGCTCGATTGGCGATTAACACTTGGAGAGATTCCCTCGTTAGTCTCGTCAGGACGTATTCGTATTCATAACATAAAGCCGAATGGCATCTTCTTTCAGAGGGAATCGAAAATTTCTACTAAGTTTTCGCGATAGGGCCCAATAGTTTTGAACTTTGACTCTACGCTTTCCCCATATAAAGACTTCGATAAGACTACGTATTTTGCATAAAAAATTTCAGTATTGTCGAGACATTAAACTTTCAAGATATCCATCCTTTCACATAGGATGTCATTTCTTTTGGATTCCTTCGTCATGTTAGCTTATTTATTGAAATATTTCCTAGCCGTGAAAACTCTTACTTGTATATCCTTTAATTTCGTTTGATTTAATTCTAAAATTTCTTGTTCATATTGTTGAATTTGTTTTTGTAAATTATTAATTGTTGTTTCATTTTGTAACGTACGTTCTTTATAAATTTGTAAAGATTTTTCAATTTCATCAAAATTTAATTTAATTTTATTAAATTCATTTTCTTTATTAACTAACATTTCTTTTGTTAATCTTAAATCCATTTTATTTGTATCACGTTGTTGTGTTATTTTTTGTAAACTATTTTCTAATTTTAAACGATATTCTTCATATTGACTAACAGCATTTTCATAATTATGTATACGTGTTTGTAATGCTTCAAGATTTTGTTTTAAATCAATTTGTATTTCATCTGTTTGTTTTGATGAATGATTTAATTCATATTTTTGTTTTTCAATTAATTCATTTAATTGTTGAATTTCATTTGATAATTTTTCTTCAGTTTTTTCATATGTTTCTTTTAATTGAAGTTTTTCTTGATCCAATTGTTCAATTGTTTGTAATAAATTTTGATTTTCATCTTCAAGTATTTTACAATTATTGATTAATTCTTTTTGTTTTATATTTAAATCAGAATAATCATGTTTAAGTTGTTCAAATTCTTTTTCAACATAGATTAAACGATTTTTTGTATCGTCTATATAAAAATAAAATTCGTAGTAAAATATGAAACAATGTCTTTTAAGACATTTGAAGAAGATAAAATAGATTTTATGAAGAAATCTTTCAAAATGTTTAAAACTTAAACTCACCATTAGCTCTAAGTCGATCAAGTTCAATATTTAATTCATTAATCATTTTTTCATGATTAATTTTCATACGTTCAATATCTTGATTTAATTCTTTTGATTGTTGTTCTAAATCTTGATTATATTTTGTTTTAAGTATTTGATTATCTTGTTCAAAATTATTTTTATAATATAAGATTTTATCATTATATTCTTTTTCAAGTGTTCGACGTAAATCATCTAATTTTATTTTTATTTCATGTTCAAATTTAGCTCGAAGTTTATCTTCAATCGAATTTTTTTCTTGACAAACATCTGCAAAAAAAAAAGAATTTAGATATAAATTTTAATTATTAACACAATTCGAATTTTTACTCCTATGTACTCTGCAACGCTTCTCTTAGATTGTATTTTACAAAAAATGAAATTTTATTTCTTACCTATATAAAGTTGTTTTGTTTTATCTAAATCAACAATATCTTCACGTAATTGTTCAATAATTGTATGTAATTCATGTTTTTCATAATCATATTTTTCATGTAGATTTGAATAATTTTTTTTAAGTTGTTCATTTTCTTTTGTTAAACTATTTATTTGTTCCATATGAATACTATTTGTAATAATTGTTTCATCTGAATTCATTGTATCTTTATGTGTTAATTCATGAATTTGTCGTTGTAATTCTTCATTAATTTGTATAAGATTTTTTTCATTCGATGCAAATTCATCAATACGTTCTTTTAAATGATGATTTTCATTTATTAAAGATTCGTTTGGATTATCAAAACTTGTTGAATTATGTGGAACAACTTGTCGATTAAGACTAAATAAATAAACAAAGAGTTAAAATAGAAAATAATTGTTTTTCTTTCATTCAAACCTTGATAATTCATTAACAGATATACTTGATATACCAAATAAATCTTTATCAACTTCATGTTCTGTTATACCAAGACGTTCACGTAATGTTCGAATTTCAGACTAAAAATGAATAATAATGAATCAAAATTATTATAATATTGCGTATCTTGCTCAGATCTCTATACCAAAAAAAAGCCAGGTCATCAATATAAGATAATGAAATTTCCTTTATCTATATCATCAAAATTCGGTCACCTTTTAATGATACGAGAAGCATGATCACAAATACGTTAGTAACAGATCCTTTCGTGCCATAAATCATGTATAAACCGTATACAAAAGTTTACTATAGTCATAATTCTTGTACTAGGTTTTTTCAGGAAAAGAAATTTCCCATTTTTCTAGAGAATTCAACGGTCTATTTTTTACGAAAAAAAATTCAAACTTTGAGGATTTTGTTATGTGGATATATAAGCAAAATAAGCAATGTTGCAATCATTCTGACTAATTCGATATAACCTACCCATGTAATCATCATCATGCTAGACCGATGTTATCATTCCCTTTTGCTATGTCAATGTCCTTGTTTTTTCTTTCGTTCGTTTTGTTATCTCAGATACTCGTGTTATTTGTCTCGTTTTTTTTCTGATGGAATAGAAAAAAAAAGAACCAGTCAAAGAAGTAACTTGAAATTTGTGATTTATATGGTGATTGGAATTAGTAGTAGAAATATTTTTTTAACTTTAATCCTTTATTTTTTTTTTTAGTACATTATATCGCGAAATAATCTTTTGTCTTTTATTAAAAGTCCTTCTGTAGATAATCACGTACATCTGATATAAAATTTAATAGATGTTTTTTTTTTCATTGTTTCAACTTATGTTATCTTATCAGAAATGATTCTGTTCAAATTCTAACTTTATTTTATCACGTTTTCACCCATAGTCTATTATTTAAAGTATGCTAATCATTAAAAGACTTTATCAAGGTGTATCGGGATAATTGTAAATCATACTGGAAGTCTAAAAACTGCATGGCATACATCAGACACTATTCAAGTATCAAGTATATGGCTTCTTTGTAATGGTAAGACTAATATTTGGGAGTAAAACTACTACACATTCAGCTATAAATCTTCACGAGAGAATACAGTGACTTTTGACTCAGGAGATCGGATAATAAATTTATTGATGTGTATAATTTTTCATAAATGAGAGAGAAAGCACAATGCTTGATTCTTCAGGAAAATCTTGAAATTGTAAAACGAGTTAGTCGCATCTACATCAAACCTACAAAGATGCCTTGGTGAGACAAGCAGATTTTCTAAAAGGATTTGTCCCCACAAGGCTTTGGAACCAAGTTATATTTAATTTTCGATACAGGTCTATTTAAATACCGAAAAATCCAAAAAGAATAGAATTTCAACATGAAATTGAACTCATATACATATATCGCATGACTCACAGAATATGCTGTAAGTTTCAGCCGATAAGAATGTTCTTTTGTTGAGATATCAAATTTTAAAAAAATAATCGCTTGTCACAAGTATGATAAGAAAGCAATTATTTGGTTTTTTTTTTGAAATTCAATATCTCAACATAAGAATATTCTTCTCGACTGAGAGTTTTAGCATATTTTTTTACAAGTCATTCGATATATATGTATGGATTAAATGTTACGTCGAAATACTACTTTTTGATTTTTTGGTATGTATCTGAGGATTAAGTAAAATTTTTACGGACTCGTTTTTTAAGTGATGACGAAAAAAATAGGTTTGAAAGCTTTTTAAATCAACAGAAGATCCCCTCGCAAGTAAAAGAAACTCTTTTTGAAGACATGAAGACTTTTCTATTCTATTATCTACTTTGTCTTCCAATATTAGACTTAGTTCAGTTTGACAATATAAAGAAATTATGAAATACCTGAAATTCTTGACATATATTTTCAAGTTTTTCTTTATCTTCAGTCATACGATTTAATTGTCTTTTTGTTTCTGTTTGATTAAATGTATCCATTGATTTACTTGTTAATAAATCAGTATATTGTCTTTGACAATCATGTAATTGTTGATTTAAATGACTGATTGTTTCCATTCTTTCAAAGATAGCCTAGAATAAATATTTAGGAATGAAAAAAAAAGAAACAAAATTATATGCAATGTATTTACTTTTTCATTATTTTTACAAGCGGATTCTAATTGGATACGAAGTTCATCAACTTCAATTGTCTAATAATTGAAAATTTTCTTTTTAATTAGTTTTGAAAAACGCTCTGATTAGATGATCATTCTTGATTTGAAAAGCCACTCATACTATTTTTTAGAGTAACTCGTGGCGTATCGAATGGTGCATAGAAAGTCACATTTTTATCAAATTTTAATATTTTGAACAGTCATGTATTATTTAAGGAGTACTACAGCAATTGTGTGTCTCTAATATTTCTTATGTTCTGTAATAAGTATTTTTTGAATGGAAAAGTTTCTATCTATGAGTAATAAGTTCATTATATCCTGTCGCTTGATATATATATATATATATGAATCTTTCGAAAATGACAAAAAATTTTCGCTTTTAAGATCTCTGAAAACTAACAACTTCTTGTCATTTTTGAAGACTAGATAAAACTCTATTGAATGTATTTTAAACAGTTGGTTTAGAAATATACTACTCAATTTAAGTGCGAGTAATACTTATCTTTTAAACATATTTTTTTTTCTCTGAAAATCAGAAGAAAAAAGAAAGAATTATGTTTCTGATAGTCTCAGTAATGATTCACAAACGAAAAAAAAGCTTGTTTTCGTGAAAATGGTTCTTCTAGTTATATTCGAAATCAGCATGATCAGTTACAGATAACTCAAATTGCTATTAGGTAGTTGCCCAGAACATAAAAAATTGATGAAAACATAACTTCCTACATATCATTCGGTTTGCTATGAGTTACTCGATAAAATGATATGAATGATTTTTCAAATGAAGGATTATCATCTTATCCGATAGAGTCTTGAAAATCAAACCTTTTCTTGTAAATTCATTTGAGTAATTTGTAATTTTTCATTAAGATTAATTATTTCTTGTTCATGTTTTTCACGTGTACTTGCTAAAATAAGTTCACAATCTTGTTGTGTACGTGCAATAGATTCAAATCTTTGTAATTCATTAACTTTTCTATGAAGTGAATCAATTAATGATTCAGCATCATCTAATTTTTTTTCAAGCTATATAAAAAAAATAATTGATCTTTTTAATATGTTGATAAAAAAAGCTTTTCGTTTACTTGTGTTTTATTTCCTTCTAATTGTTGAATTTTTAATTCAGCATCTTTAATTGTTCGCTGTAATTGATTATTTGTTTCAATTAATTCTTCGCATTGTCTAGTTATTGATTGATAACGTTGTTCATAATCATATTTAGCTCCTGTGAAAAAAAAAACAATCAGAAAAATATTTGTTAGTATTTATTATTGCGGTTCATTTACTTTCACTTAATTCAATTTTATGTTTAAGTACACGTAAATCACTGTTATATTTTTCATGATATTCAGTTAAACGATTTTCAAGTTCAGTTATTTTACGTTCTTTAACATTACATAAAATACGAAATTTATTTAATTGATTTTGTGTATCAGATGAACTTGTTGATGATGTTTGATACATAAATTGTGCTTGCATTGGATCAATGAAATCTATTGTTGGTAATGAATCAAAATATTGAACACCTGTTGATGCTATATTATTATTATTATTATTATTATTTGTATGACGATTTGGATTTTGATAATGAACTAGAGCAGAACTTTTTGTACTAAATTGTATATCTTGTTCAGTATTATTATGTTCATCGAATTGTTGATAACGTGGATATGTATATTGAGTATGATCATCAAACTGAACGAAATAAATGAGATGATAGAGAGATATAAAAAAAAAAGAAAGATGGATGAATAACAGACTCGACGAACATCTGTTGAAGCTGATGGTGGAACTAATGGTGGAGGAGTAGAAACAGCTGGAGTAGAATATAATGGTTGTTGATATAAATGATTTCGATGAAGTAATCTTAATTAGAGAGAAAATATTTTTCAATAGTTATAATATTAAATTTTAATAAGTTTAATATTTTATTTGTGTCATTAATTATAGGACATATTTTATAATTGCTACGATTTTCATATGTCAGAACAATGTTAGTAGATATTTCTGAACTGGTATTTCAAATAAATAGATTTTCCTGAAAGATTCTAATTATTGATAATTTATTCTGTCTTGATAACCACAAACATCAGTTTCACAAAGCATTTATCTTACTGTTTTCTTGTGATCTGAATTTGTCAAGATAGAATAAATTGTCGTATATATTGAATTGTATCCGAAACAAATTTTATATTAACTTAAAATCCATGCTTAAGTGCTTATTCGGGTGATTTTTCAACAGATCAATGGTAAGCATAGGATAAATCCTCATGCAAAACAGATATCAAACTATCAGTTTCATTTTCTATTGCTTTCAAATATAATACATATTTTCTTAAATAATAACTCGTTTATTGTAAATCAGAGAAAACCTCAGAGCCGATTGGTACATTCTGTTCTTTACTCGACTGTATAATAGAGATCTTAAGAAGCCTAAAAACTGCCTCATAAATTAATATTTAAATATTTAACTTTTATTACGAAAGTAAATACTTGATCTGAATAAGATTTCATTCGACTTAAGCTTTTTATAATGATAATGAAATCTTACTCGTGTTGTTGTTGTTGAATATAGTGATCATTAGCATTATTATTATTATTATTTGTATTTAATAGTTCATGTTCATTAACAATAAGGTGACTTGAATTCGATGTATTTAATGATTCATCATCCTCGTCATCTTCTTCTTCTTCACCATCAGAGGGTTCTTCATGCCCTTCAAAAGCAGCCATAATCAATTCAACGATCTATTATAAAACAAAGAAGTCATTTTTTTTCGCACAAAACTTTTAATTAACAAACTTCATTTTGATTTGTTTGTTCATGAACAATATCTTCATGATCTTCTTCATCAAAATCATTTCCATTAAGACCGATTGAATCAGGTAAAAACATACTAACACCCGAATTAAATTCCATATTAAATTCTATTTTTTATGATTTAACTACTAGCACCATCGAATTTTTCTCTTTTCTTTCTTAACCGCAATTCTATTCATTAAATTTTCTTGTCTGACCTTGTTACTATAGCTACCGTCAACGGTGTGAAGAAAGAATATTTATTTTTATTTTAATAAAAATTATTAATTTTTTTGATTTATTAAATAAAATATTATATGGTTTTGTTATAGAAACAATACGACCTCTATGTATTTGATATATGGTGTCGCTGTATACCGCATTCATTTGTTTCAAATGAATACAAATTATCCAGTGTTTAGCTAATAGAGATTTTGTTTAAAAAAAACTGATTATTGTATTAAAATTCGAAAGTAAAATACTTTCATTGCAAAAAAGAAAAACTATGACATTATTTTCTCCGAGAGAAGAAGTCGGAACATATTTGTAAAAGCTCTATGTAATCGAAACTAAGAAAACAAGCACGTTTGTTTTCCATAGTTACATACGTTTTGGAAAGAGGAGGGTGCTGGTCCACATTTTTATGGAATTTGACCCGAATTTTTTTTCATTAATATCTAGCATCCTCTGTGCACGTGAACAAGTGTAGTATCAAGGTTTCAGCTATTTATTGACTATTCTCCACTTGCTCATCATTCGATTTTGAAGAAATTGAAAGTTTTCATTTAGTTGAAAAGAGCATTATGTTAACAAAAAAAGGACACTAGAACAATTACCAAGCCAATAGTAACACCAAAATCTTCAGCTCTATGGAATAAATGAGATTAAGCAAGAATCTGTTCTATGGAACCAATGAAAAGATTTACTCATTTATAAATCATCTTTTGGTCCTAACGCATTATCTAAGCATACTTGTAGTTGTCAAAATAAAACCACTCAAACAAATATCAAGTAGTTTTATGCATCTTCAGATCAGATTAAGCAGGAAATTGAAGTTTCTTGTATTCAATTTGCACCACTTCACTGTCAATTTTTAATGTTGATCGATAATTGCCTTCAACTCTCTGTATGGAAATACGACATTAATAACCATTGAATAAAACAAGATAGTCATTTTTTTGAGAAAAATTTTTCTAATGTAACAATTGTATAATTAAAGGATGATCTTTTTGATCATACTTGAATAAATGAAGATCAAAGAGGAACGACTTGTGATGAATTTGAATGGATTATGAGTTCAATTGATTCAGACAAATCAAATTATTTTTGGATACTTGCAATCAATTGACATGCAGAAAATTTATATAACATTGTATTATTTCATTTGAATTCAACTAAATAAAAAATAAATTTAATCTACCTTTATTGGCACAGAAAAATTGCAGTATTTATTCTCTTATTATGTTCATTCAAGTCTCGGATGAAATTTAATTTGTATTAGTCTTCTTTTTATTATTTCATCAGATTCATCGATAATAGTCATTACACGATACTAGAAAATTGTGGTAGCAAATAACTGTTTAGTCAAGAAGAATTAGATGTTCTCGTCACGAAAACTTGCTTGTGTTCTCACTTTTTTCATTTAAGAGTGAAGCAATCATCGAAATTTATTAAGTCTTAAACATTGATGTTGTTTGATTAATAGAAAGAATGTTTTCTTGTACAAATCTCATATTCTGCATCTTCACATGTTGTTCATTCCTGGAAAAAGTTAAGAACCATTTCATCTAAAAATTATCTCCTAGATGCCCATCAAACATATAAATAAATCAGTTTTCATCAAGATAATCTCTTCAAAACATTGCAGCTCATAACTTGATACAATTAATTTATTCTAACCAGGGATGTCTCGAGGTCACTAAGATTAGGACGGAGCGACTACTGAGAAGGTAGGAATCACAAAATTTTGGGGAAGCGCATTACTCTCGCGACCTTCTCACTCGAGACACCCCTAAGTCTAACTTATGTAAAAACTTAGTAACAAAAGATTGACGGTAACATGCCTTGATTTGTTCACAAGTCGAAATTTTTATTATTCCATGTTCCGTGATCTTGAACAAAAAATTCAATGAAACTGAATAATCGATTATTGCGATTTAATGTGTAGTTGGCCTTATTAGTTATTATAGAAAAATCGAATTTCTTTCTGAATAAAATAAATGAAAAAAAAACATCAAATTGATGCGCGCTATTGTGCATTGTCCTCTGTTTTTTGTTCTTTCATCTGTTTCTTTGTATTTGAATAATGAATTAATCTTGCGTAAGAATGGAAGAAAAAAAACTGGTCCCTATGAGGATCGAACTCATGACCTCCGCGTTATTAGCACGGCGCTCTAACCGGCTGAGCTAAGGGACCGCTGTTATTGGATGCGAAAAATAATTTCTAGGTATGGATAATCTCTACGATATGGAGATTAACTATGTCAAAAATATGAAATTCGAGTACTCTTATTTGATAGATTTTCATTGAGTTCAATTTAAACGAAAAATGTTGTATAAAAATGTATTCTATCTTTAGTCAATAATACCATGCAACAAAGATTTACTCACTCGTACAAATTTTTATTGATAAGTTCTTGTCAATAAACTTTTGATCGCTGTATATGCCAGAGCTGCCAGTCCACCAGGCTAAGACACATTTTTACTTATTGGCCTATCTTACATTTATCTTGAATATTTTTGATGAAGTCTAGCTAGGCTAAAATTGTTGGTCTGATAAAAGTCTACTTGAAACGAATATCTTAGTTCATTTCCGAATGTTAGATGTCGCTATAGACTGAGTTATATTTCGAAGAATTTTAAAAATAGATACTTGCCCAATAACTAGCAAGTTCGTTACAATAGCAGAACAGTAAATGGCAGAGAAAAAAGAAAAATTAGTTTAGCTTTTTTCAGACCAAATGTGAGCTGCGAGATACATTGAAAACCATTATTCCAATAATATTATGTTTCAAGTTAGTGGTTTTGAAAATATGAGAATGATGTGTCGAATCTTAGCTTTCGTTTTTTCCGTTAAGAAGAATCAATTAATCTATTCCGTCTCATATGAAGTGTTCATTCCTTGTATTCACAGCTTGTTTAAACAGTTTTATAGATTAACGTTAACTACATGATTAATTACAGCTGTATAGGACTAAAGTCCGAAGAAGTGCACAATAATTAATGACTAAAAGCGTATGTGACATTGCGCTATCCTTAATCATTGTTGATTTGAAAACTTGATTATTAGGAATTCCTTTAATATATTTCATACATGTTCAAAATCAGCCTTAAACAAATTCTAAAAATAAATTTATCAAGCTCAATTCGTTTAAAAATCTTTATTTAATCGTATTTCTCCAATGAATTCAACAGGAATCGAACTATGTAAAGCATTTAGCAAAGAACTTAGTGGAAATTTTTCAAAATTATGAACTGTGTTGAGAAGCTTGAGTTCTATTAAGAGTCTACAGTTTTTCTTTGGAGTCGTTGTATTTCTACTATATCAAAATATTCATAAGACACGATAAATCTGACGTAAAGAAGTGTAAAAAATTTGTTTTTTTTTCTTAATTTCAAAATGATGAAACATTCTTAATAATTATATGAAAGTGTCGATTAATACAAAGGACATCAAAAAGTTTCTAATTAGATCATGAATAGATCTGGCAATGTCAATTAATACACATAAAGGTCGATGGACGTATACTTCGAGGATGAAGAAGCCTAATCTGAAAAAAGCATAAAATCAATAAGTTTGTTTTTGTATGCGTCGGTATGTTCGGAGTTGTTCGCACTTGGTAAAGTGATATTCGAGTTATTTCGAGGTTTTCTATATTATAGGCAATGAAACACAGCTTAGTTCTTGTTTTTTATGAGTTCCTATTCTTTTATCACATTGCATTTCAATTTCCCTACGTTGAATATTTTTGGTATTGTTATACGAGATTTTCTATTCTAACTTGCGGAATCGAATATTTCTCAGAGAAAAAGGTGAAGAAATATTCACCTAGAAAATTCTGAAGATTGATATTTTTCTTCATAAAATAAGACTGTTTAGAAAACTGTATGAGGGTGTAGGTGTTGTCACTTTCCACACTCGCACCACACTAACACCCACACCCACATCCCCACACTCACACACCCACCCCCACACTCACACACTCACACCACACCTCACCCACACCTCCACAGCCACACCCTCACCCGTCTTCCTAATTCGCAGAAAGTGTACCCCAAAATTGGAGAAAATCTAAACCAGAATAGGACAAAGCCTAGCTCAAAATCGATGAGTCTAAACCAAAATTTTTCAAAGCAGAAAAGGGATGACCCCCTCTCTCCCTCCGCCCCGGTTGCGCCGCCCCTGTTGCAACACCTAATATAAGTATAAATGATTTAGTTGTTTCTTGTTCATAAACAATTGTTAATATAACTCCATCATCGTCTTCTGTAGATTCTGGTTTGCGAACGAAAACTGGTTCACTTGAAGATGTGCATGATTCTTTCCATAATCCAGTTATTTGCTGAATTTGTAAATCTATTTTAACTAAGGCATCAAACTTGTAATGAGGAGGCCCTCTAATAGCATAAATATAGCGATATCATTTTCCAATGAAATTTGAATTTATTCTTGCCAAATTCTGAGAGTGTGGGTGTGGGTAACAAAAAGTCAAACCCACACCCACCTTTTTTGAGGTGCCAGTGGATGAGGGATACCAGCCGAAACATTCAAAGCGATATCTACAAACGCACCAGCACATACACATTGAAACTCATACCAACATTTACACTCTGTATCGACACACAACAGAATATATTTTCAAGTATTCAAAACTTCAAATTAATCATTATCATAAGTTTTATGAGACGAAATACAAAAATTTTCTGTTCATGTGTCATTGATAATCCCGATCTGAGGTCAGATTAGTCCTTTATTGGAGTTACGAATACACCAGCAGACTACAGACCTTGTTCTACTTTTCCAGCGGAGTACTGCATCTTTCCCATACGATCAAACTTACCATCCGTAATATTGCCCGGATACGAATCACCATTGGGCCACGTGAACATGCCTTCACCTGTCATCGTATCATTGATCCAATCTCCTATGTATTTTTTACCATCAGCATAATGGTATGTTCCTCGCCCATACATCTTATTCTCCTTAAATTGACCTTCGAATATATCACCTGCCGATTTCGATTGAGTACCCCAGACAAATACACCCTGGCCTGTCCTCTTATCATTTATCCAATCACCTGTGTAATTGCTACCATCCGAATAAAGCTGCGTTCCTCGCCCGTGTCTATTACCAGAGTTGAATTGACCCTCATATTTTCCACCACTGGGCCAAGTCAAGACACCATAACCCGTTCTCGTATGATTGATCCAGTCACCTGTGTAGTTGCTACCGTTTGAAAAAATCTGTGTTCCTCGTCCGTGCCTATAGCCAGCTTTAAATTGACCCTCGTATTTCGCACCGCTGGCCCAAGTCAGGATTCCTTCACCTGTCATCGTATCATTGTTCCAATCACCCGTATAATTGTCACCCTTTGCAAAATAGTATGTTCCTCGTCCATGCATTTTATCATTTTCGTACTGGCCTTCGTACTTATCACCATTGAAAAAGGTCAAGATACCCTCACCTGTTCGCATATCATTGACCCAATCACCTGTGTAATTGCTACCATCCGAATAAAAATGTGCTCCTCGCCCGTGCCTATTACTAGCGTTGAATTGACCCTTGTATTTCGCACCCTTGAACCAAGTAAAGACACCATTACCTGTTCTCTCATCATTAATCCAATCACCTGTATAATTGTCACCGTTCGAGTAAAGATGTGTTCCTCGGCCATGTCTATTTCCTGTGATGAATTGACCCTCATATTTGCCTCCATCGAACCAAGTAAAAATGCCCTGGCCGGTTCTTGTATCATTGATCCAATCACCTGTATAATTATTACCATCCACGAAATGATGCGTTCCTCGTCCGTGTCTCTTGTCAGCATTAAATAGACCCTCAAATTTATCACCATTCGACCACATATAGACACCTTCGCCAGTCATCGTGTCATTGATCCAATCTCCTGTAAAATTTTCGCCATTCGAATAAATCTGCGACCCTCTCCCGTGTCTGTTGTCGTCGCTAAAGTGCCCCTCATATTTAGCACCATCGGACCAAATGAAGATACCTTCGCCCGTCATCGTATCATTGATCCAACTGCCTATGTATTTATCACCGCTGGCATAGTAGTAAGTTCCTCGACCATGCTTGTTATCGTTTTCAAATTGTCCCAATTACTTTTCACCTATCACGTGAGCATCTGATTGATTATATGATCTGTAGTTTTAACGATGACGAGAGATTTTTGAATATTTTGCCTTATACCAGTCACCATTTGAAAATTTCTTTATGCGATAGGTTGTCTGATCGTTGTCGATGACATCAATGATTTCTTCTGAAAGGACAAAGATATTCGCAGTGAATTAAACCGACATTGACAGAATTATTAGTGTCAACATGATATTGAGTGTCTTAGAGATTAAGACAGTTCTCTTTTTAGATTGATATCATATTTTGTAATATTATATGAGATTTATTGGGAGGAGCTGAAGTCGAAATTCTTTGTTTGAGTGTGTGAAGAAGCGACATGGCAAATGATATGGCGGTGCGTATATTGCTGAAGTTGTGTATTGTGAGATCAATATAGTTGATGGAGTCTGATTACCCCTTCAGTCAGCTACCATGGTGTTGACTTCATTTTGAAGCGCATGTGAGGACAGATAAACAACATTATAAAAGTTTCAGGTATAGTTATTAAAAATATTCGGTTCTATGTTATGTCTTCATACTTTCCGTGTAGTCAATAGGTATTGATCCATCTATAAAAGTGTGTTAATGTCTGACAACGATAACCAGCACCGTTTTACAACGGCTAAAATTTCACGTATAGAAAGGTATATAGAATGAAGAAAGATGATTTAATCAGTGTATGATATCGTTTGCAAAATAATGATCAAAAAGTTTAGTACAAATTCAAATAAAAGTGAAACCAAACTTGTTTCAATATTAATCCTTGAGAAGTGATTCATTATTTCATACTTCATTAACGAACTAGATAGTTTAGTGCACGAATAGTTTACCGTATTCAATTCAGATGTTATATAATTCAGCAGAAGGAATATAAAGCAAGACAACTCAGTCAAAAGTTGGAATATTTCCATATGTTGATTCATTCTTTGCTATAGATAGTGGCGATTTTTTTGGAGATGGTCAAAGATCGATGGTTGAAGCTTCGATTATTCACCGTGAAAATCGGATGACATAGACCTTTCTTATAATCATGCAGAGAATGATGTACTTCATTATTAGGTCGTTTTATAAGTTCTGAGGATTTTTTCTGTGCGATAAATACATTTATTTTGCGAAACATACATGTACTATGTTAGTTGATGATGTAATCAGTATTATTATTGCTCATATTCATCCATTTTGTCGACATTAGTTCATTTCCACGTTTGTAGAAACTAGCCAATGTTGATTCCAAAAAATGCCAATAGAATTAGAATTAACTTCATCAAAGTCTTCAAATTGTTGATCACGTAATTGGTTTCAAAACGATCGAAATAAATGATAACCGGATAATGTAAGGCCTGTTGAGTGCAGTACATGCGCAAAATTTTCCATGAAAACGGGCTATCATTTGTTTCCACTGTTTCGAAATCACTTGTGCAACAAGGAAAATTGTGACTTTAGTGGGATCTAATCTAACTTCACTACGTTTTTTAAATGGTTATGGATTAGTTTTTACAAACACGGAATTGAATAACTGTCACCAAGATGAACGATGCTTGGCGAAAATAACGGTGATTACCTTGTTGAGTGATATTACATGTCTTCGTCGAAAAATAAATATCTTGTTGAACAAGACTCGTTCTCAAACATTGTGTTACAGTACAGTATATAGTTTGCCAGTGTGGGTAACTGCACGCCTATTCTGCATATACTAGAGGTGTAACAAAATGGTTGCAACACATACGCTTTATCTTTTGTTCAATGTATGTGTCGTAAAAATCTCAGCATTTATAGTGCAAAAAGTGAAATGAAAGACAAAGAATTAGGACTTTTGGAAATACATTTTTAAACAAATTAGTTATCAGTGGCACTAATATTGCAAAAAGAGCAAGAGAATTCCGAATAAGAAATTTCTTTGTTTATTATTGTTTATCGTCAACATTGGTACAGACATTGGTGAGCGGTAAGCATGAATCGAAGTTTCGAAGGATGCTGGTGTTAACCGAAACCAAAACTGTATACATCAATTGATGCTATAATCTGAAATGCAGTTTATGAGTTGCTCTCAATCTTTGAATACTCGAAACACAGCTGAGTTAATTTTTCTTTTAATTGGATAATGTATTTTAGCTTTGAGCACTACCGATCGATATTATTCACTGACCTTCTACAGTTTTTGTTGGTTGTTCCGTCACATTTGTTGCTCGAGCACTTGCCTGTGGTGGAAAAGTTGGAGTCGCCGCTGGCTTTTCACCATACAGTGCTTGAATTCTCTCTTGATCCTACGAAACCATCATGAAAACGTCATCATAGCTATCGTCTCTATAGAGTCTTACTATTCTAAGAGTTTCCTCTCTGCCTTCTTATCAGTTTGTACGTCGGCAGAAACCTTCAATGATTCACAAGTTAGAGTTGCATGTAAACAACAGAAGAAGTCGCCTTCTACTTACATCGTGTCTGTTTATCGCTTAGGTCTCTCTATCTACCTTTTTTGTACGAAATATTTCTTATCTTTTTTGAGTTCGTTTAGACAGAAATGTTGAAATATATTTTGAGAAAAAGAAAATCAATCGGATGACTGATCAGCCAAACTATCATAGTCAGGCAAAGCATCGAACTAGTAGCTAACGTGATACACATTTGAGGTTTTATCATGGTTAGAAGAATATCATTGTTTTTGAGTCTACAATTTCATGAGTGCTAGTCTCACGACCTACTCTCTATAAACTGAGAGCTGATTAGTTTCAGAGAAGATCACAAGTGTTGTTGGAAGCAGAATAAAAATATCATAAATGAAAATCCTTCTCCATTCAGACATTTTAAATTGAACTTGTATTCAGTGACCGTTCATTAGCAGCATTGTGTCTACTTCACTTCGATGTAGCAAAGTTCCCTTGCTTTGATTGCCAAATCGGTTAGATCGCATTGTAAACACTGACGCACTAACTTGTCTCTGCAAGTATCTTTTATTTGTTCGAGTAAAAAAAATAAGAATAGCTATCCTAGCTAACCGGTTATTGTTGGTGAATGGATACGGGTGTGAGTATTCTTCTGTTTTTGATTTACACTCACACCTTCGTTTTAGAGAAACGTTCCCATGTTTGATTCTTCTTGATTTTAATGTATTTATTTCTTAAAGCCTGTGCTTCTGTATCTAACACAGTAATTGTTATCTGAAATCTCAATATCAAACACATCTTCCAACTAAAATTCATGAAGTCCGAATGTCAAATTGCATTAACATATGCTATGCTCGTGTTGATCTCTTATTTTTTAAAACTAAAGCAATCAAATGCAAATGGTCGAGTCCGCAAAATAGAAGAGAATACTGTTTTTCATATGAAGACCTAGAAATTGTATTCAAGCTTACAGCATCTAAGATAAAGAAGAAATAAATACTTCACTAACTTGTTTGGGCAACATATCCTCTGGAAGAATTAAATTGTAAAATGGGTACATAAGTGACTTCTTGTTGTCGGTATTATGTTCTAGACCAAGACTATGGCCAACTTCATGCGAAGTAACTAAACGTAAATTGTAGCCTTTGCCATTATATCTATATATTTCAACAACAGTTCGATACAATCTCGTTCGATTTTTACCTACTTGTCTGTCCACTTTTCAGTTGAATCAAAATGAATCTGTCCACGATTGTGTTGCCATGGATAAAAAGCATGTGCAAGAGTTCCATCGCGTCCGTCAAAAATAGATCCATCTGAATGTTCACCATATTCAAAAGCCAAATTGAAATCAGCATCTTCATGTTCAGCTGCTTGACGAAATGTTAATTTTGTGTATCTAGCCCAATCATTAAAACTTCGTTCAATTTGTCGATTGATTTTTGTTAGATCATAGAACGGGTGATCACACTCTAATTTCCACCTAAGCGTGCGATTCGTCGGCCTGAAAATCAAAAAGAAAAGAATATATGTTTGGCAGTTTCAGTACGTTTTCTCTTTGAAGAGTACAATTAATTTCTCCAATGATTCTCTGCATCATACTCTTCATCAAAATGAGTTTCACAAAAAGGACATCATAAAAAACAGCTCTAAGGCTATATAGAACAGATCTCTCATTAGTTTAAAATTATAATCCACGATGCTTTCATGCGGTCTAATTGTGTTTTCGTTTATCTCCGTTGAAAAAAAAAAGACAATTGAATTGTATTTATCTAGGATGGGAAGTGAACTTTAAGACATAACTGTATTAGAATTTCATTTATGCTATCAGTCTCAGTACATTGTAAAGAAACACGCCAAAAGAATGGACCTACTTGAATAAAATACCTATAAATCTACATCATTAGTAATCATACTAAACATTTGTGTATATGAAGATAAGTTCATATAGAGTTTCAAGGTATTCTTTTAACGTGTACAACTAATACTTGATATTAAAACTACAGGAGTAAGAAAAACAGACATATTACCAGAGCGCGCTCGTTTTGTTGATCAACAAAGATGGAGAATCGGGCAAATCACATCGTGGCGTATTCATTAGTTTCAGCGTGGCAGCATCGAGCTCCCTAGTTAAAGGTAGATGAAATGTAGCTTGAAAATATTCTAGCATCGATTCGAAGCTCGACAGACATGCTGGACTTTCATAAATTTCTGAATCAGCGTCAGACAGTCTTTGACATCGATTATATCCGAATTCAGTGAGGAATTTAAAAGCATCTGCATTTGATTTGATTGCAACACTACTAGAATCTGCATTTAATCGAAGTACTGTGCGCTTTACTCTTTTGTTTTTCAAAGTATTTCGATTCAAT